TACATTATCAATGTTTGTCTTAAATCTCTCTCTTTGTCTTTTCGTTAGCTACTAGTTAAGCGAGATTGTTGTCTGTGTTGCTATGGTGACCAGCAGTCTGTGCTGATCTTCAGGGTTAAAGGGTGATTTAGCAGTTCTAACTTAACTCCAGCCACCTGAGTCACCTGACATCAGTGTTATGTCAACTTAATATCAGCTGGCGAATGCAACCGTTTTTGACAAAACCTCTTGGAGCAAGTATTCATAAATGTTTATGTAGGGTTATGTTGGGTGTCATGAAAGGCTTATGTAGGTGTTGTGTAGCCTTACAAACACTGACCTACACTGCTGTAGAGTACTGTATTACACCAACATAAGCCCTTCATGACAACTGACATATCCTTACATAAATGTTCATAAATGCTTATTCCAATATGCGTCATCTGTCATAAAGGCTAATCTAGCTAACTGAGAAAAATTGCCAAATGTATCCTTTATAGCGAATGACGCCTATTGGACTAAACCTTTATAAACATTTATGTAGGGTTATGTCAGTCGTCATGACAAGCTTATGTGTGTGTCATGTAGCCTTATGAACAGCTCCCTACAGTAAAGTGTTACCCATTTTTTTCTTAGGAAAACATTGTAACATTTTCTATCAATACCACGTCTATAACACATTCATACCACGTTATAATGCATTCATAAAGCATAATAAATGTGCCTATAAATATTTATAAAAATGCATTTCACTACATAGCCATGCTTACTGTGTATTATTGTTGACATATTGCATTATAAGTAGCCTCCATAACATGTTATATTGTCAGTATTTGGTCACTTTACTCGAGGCTGGCAAAGACATGATATAATTAGTTAAAATTAATCTATTTTTCCATATTAGATAAGTATAATTCATAAATTGTTAAATCACAGCATCAGAGTGTGTTTATAGCTTGACACTGGAAGTATAAGTGGTACAAGTTATGAACACTACTTAATGCATTATGTTAGCAGTTCTCAATGGCTATAAAGTGTAATGCATGCTTATAAATCTTTAGATTCACATTTATAATGACTTATGTATGTATTATAAACGTGTAATTAATGTGTTCATCGATTCTCACAGACCTTGTATCCATAGAAAGTGTAACTGAAGTCTCCTAGGCTCCTAGGTCCTCTTTACGTGAGCTAACACTTGACCATGCCTTCCCTGAGCTGTGGAGCATTTCAGATCGGACCTGATCTGACCCATCTCATTAACATTTTCAGCTCTAGTTTGAGAATTCTTCACAACAATCCCCGAGACCTTTACTTTGGGCGCTTCTCCGTAACCCGAGATGTTAGATGGAAAGTACTTTGAAAGGCCGCGGTTCGGAAAACGTCGTCTTGCGAGTTAGAAAAACAGGTAAAACGATCCCAGATAGTTTCAACCAAGTCCAACAAGAGTCTTTGATAGAGCTTTACATGACCACCCATAAGATTAGTTTGGTGGATATATTCTTCATTCTCCTATCCTCCCCTCGTGAATTAGCGCAGGTGGGTAGAATTATAGGCTGATAACCCTGTTGCACCCGCAGCTTTTCAGAGAGACAACACGAGCGGCCAGTAATGCATTCCAGCCGCGCTTGGCTTGGCCTCGGGCCCAACAGGGAGAGTTGGGCTGCCTGGGCGACGCATGAGGTGCTGGAGGGAGGCTCGCTGTCTGACACAGGGAAACCAGGGGAGTGCTTCACAGTGCATCATTAGCTAATGGCAGACGCCCCGTGTCTCGGCGCCTGCTCCACGTGTCCTCTATCTGATGGGTCTTGGGAGATTAGCAGACGTTTATTAAGCCGCGGATGGATTTCCAGAATGTGAGAAAGTTTAGGGATGGGCCCACATTAGTCGACACACGTCTACGAGACAGCATCGATCTCAAAGCAGTCCTCCTTTCCCTAATCCCGTCAAGCTATCATTTGAGGTGAAGGACAAGTCCATGACTTCTGTCCCCAGAGAGTCTGATTGCTACAAGAAGCCCTGGAAACTTGTTGAATGTCCTGACATATTCATAGATGGATTTAAGAGGGGGTGTCTATAATAATTATATTTCATAATCCCATTGTTAAATATCCATTTTGCAAAGTTTCACACCGGGAATGGTGCAGTTTGGGTTCTGCAAGCTTCATCATGGGCTTTTGGGGCGCCCCCTCTGGTGCAGTACCACCGTCTGTGGAGATTTTGCCTTGGACACATGTATCACAACAGCCTTGGAAATAGCAGCAAAAAAGCACTGATACTGTAAAACCTTATCCACAGACACTTTGAACAACAAAACATAATATCAGCAGTAGGGGGCGCTGAGAACTTGCTAAACCAACTTTTTCATTGTTATAGAAGCACAGGGCTGTGGATGTCCTAAGAGAGTTATACCTCAATTTTCATACCTTGCTTAGCGGTCAGATTGCTAGTGAATAACATCATCACTTCGTAAGCAGGAAGTTGTTGGTTCGATGCCCTTGTGTGGCAGGAATATTGTCTTAATATGGCTGTTTGAGCAACAATAATGAAGGATATGAGCTTGTACTGTACTAGGTAAGCTCGGTGTTGTATTCTAGGGAGGTTATTTAATATGCAAGTATAAAGCAAAAGTTTTTAAATGTAATGTAAATTCACAGCATTTTGTTGCTGTCCAAAAACACACGGTTACAAAGAATCATTAATGCAAAGCACCAACATGCTGTGCTCCAAACGTCCTTGAAAGCATGAGCTTCTCACTTGTCCACAATGCTCAACAGACTCAGCCATTTCATCTTACTCAAGGCTGTTTTCACTCTAGTATCTAGAGTACTTCTAGCCCCCCCTTGTGGACAGTTTTGTTAAAAGTGAGTGAGTGAGTAAGTTAGTTAGCTGGCTAGGTAGTTACAAACCAGATCCATGAGGTACTTCACATCTAAAAACAAATATCTTCAAAATGCTAATTTTACAGGAGAGGGCAAAAATATTCTTAACTTTTAAGGTAAGTTAATGCAAAGAGATTTTATTCCAAGCAGTTTTGAAGCATTTCTGTTGGTCCATTCATCTTTATGTTTTCACGCAGAATAAAAAGCATCTGATATACTCAAATAATGAAAAACAATAAAAATGAAAATATGTTAGAATGTGTTCATATCAGTGTGCACTTTAAAAATAAGCACCTCCATTTTAGTACAACGCTGTTAAAAATGAGAGGTCAGATCAACTTAAAATGATATAGTAACTGATTACATGGCTTTTCTTGAGTTGACTCAACTTGAGGACACCAGAGTTAACACAATTCAAACTTCTTAGTTGAGTCAAAAATTCTCTTAATTTTTTAGTTCTGCATCTCAGTGAGGAAAATGAACTTGTTTTTTATACTCAACTTCCCCACTAGCCAGGGCTCTTTCCATCACACAGACCTTTTCCTATTGGGTAAACACTTATGGATGTCTATGGCATTGCTGGGGCTCAAACTCACAACCTCCTGTTCGGGTGACGGCTTAGTCCACTGGAACACATGAAACAGCTCAGATTTTGTGTCTACAAATGTTTAATACACTGGAGAAAATATTTGTTGTTTTAACTTTAAAGGATGGCATCGTCTCATGTGGTGCAGCTGTATAATAATTCATCAACATCAGGAGGTTGTGAGTTTGAATCCCAGCAATGCCACAGCTGCCCATATGGCAGATGGGGGACTGTGATAGAAGGAGCGCCAGCTAGTGGAGAAATGGAGTAAAAAAAAAGCACAGTTTTGTTTATCTAACTGTGATGCAGACCTAGAAACAGTAGCTGGGAGAACTTTTGACACAACTAAGAAGTTTAAGTTGTGTGAACTCAACTGTTGAGTCAACTCAAGAAAAGCTATGTAATCAGTTACTATATCATTTTAAGTTGAGCTGACCTCTCATTTTTTACAGTGACGAATGGCAGAGTTGTTAGCATTACAGTTGTTATTGTCTCTTTTTACTCCGATTACTGATATTGTTAATGTTATATACAATAATTTTGATTGTTTAACTGTAAATTAGGCATTTTCCAGACTATTGCGCTCAAATTTACATGCACCCCTACCAAGCAGGAGTTTGTTTGTACAGATACACCAAGGATGAAATCAAAGAATAAAACCAGGTGTGAATTTTGTATGCATTCAGTTTATGATCAGATCTGACCAAATGCAGGTGTTAGGAAGAACCAACACACACAGGGTGCCGTCTTCCACTCAGAGCTCCATCAGCTCGGCTCTGGAGCTCAGCACATTCAGGGCTTCCGCAGAACAAATGTTCCACAACAACTGCATGAATCTTTTGCCTCACGAGGTTGGAATGCGTGGAGCCTACAGTACAGCACTCACCTTCTACTTTCCTCTCTTAGACAATGCGCTATTCAGTCTTTCTCCTAATTTATGCACTCTTGGCCTCTAAACTAATTTACTACAGCAGGACCGGCGCTCTCAGAGCAATCATCAGAGACCTGAAATGTCACATGCGCTCAGTCTCCTCCTCTCTCTCCGCTCCTCATGGTTTCTCTCTCTATTAACAACTTAAACCATAAGATTTAGAAGAGCTTCGTCCAAAGATTTATGATGGCAGAAGCGCGGCCGACGGCCTCTCTTCCGCACGCCCCCAAGTCATAAAGGAAGAATGCAATCTGGCACACGCCTCGGTTTGTGCAGCATTTCCATGTGGGAAGTGAACACGATCCTGACGTAAATATCCAATGAGTTCAAACTCCTTTTTTCCTGCAGCCAGAAACAGCCAGTCTTTCAAATGAGCCCACGAGTGCCTTCTGCCTATCTCTCTCTCTCTCTCTCTCTCTCTCTCTCTCTCTCTCTCATTGCTAAACTGCCCCATCTGGTGTTTACAGTCTGAGATGAGAGCTTGTCTTGTCTGCCAAATAAAATTCTTAATGTGGGTTTGAAACACAAGATGTGAAGCATGAAGAAGGGAGGGGGTTCCTGAAGTTGAATGATGTTCTTTTCTCTTAGATATCACTTTCTCCTTCCTTCTCTTCTCCTCCAGGTTATGGAAGCTTGGGTATTGGAGGCCTGGGTGGTGGAGGACTCAGACCTGGAGGTGGAGTATTGCTAATTAATTATTTGTAAACCACCTGTTAATTTAACGATGCATCTGAGATTGTAATGATATGCAATAGTGCAGATGTTATATGTTATTGATCCTACAAGAGAACGTTGTCATTTTACTGCCTAACTATGCCCGGTCTGGGAGCAGGACCGCTCCTGCAGTGGTTAAGTGACTCGCCCAAGGGCACAATCAGCAACATCCAGTCAGTGTTGGGATTTGAACCCACAACCTTCTAGTTGCTCTCCTACCACTAGGCTACACTGGCAAGTGTCTCGCAGGGTCAGATGTGATCTTGTATCAAGGCCACACAAGACAGGCTGTCTTTAACTAGATACGTCTGTTTTGAGAGGTTATCTGTTCCATGTTACACACTGCAATCGGTGAATATCACAGAAATCACCCTTATCACAACTGACCGCCAAGGTTTAATCTTGCTTCTTATCCTGTGTCCGATTAAAGCTTGTAACTTGGAATGTCCCACATCCAACTAGGAAAAATCACAGAAAATGCCTGCTCAACTTGGAATTCCTGCAGTTGGGAAGGTGGTCTGAACTCTGAACTCAGCATATGATGTCAGATCAACTCTATTGTCAATGTCAGTTGTGATAAACAACTGCTTCTCTGATTTTAAATGAGATTAGCTTTAGATCAGTCAACACACACTGTAATTAAAATTCAGTTTCTAACATTGTACTGATTTTCAAAATAAAAAGAACTTTGTGCCTTTTTTCAGAGGCCATTGTTGAGTTTCTTCTCGTACAGTCTCAGAAATAAAGGTAGTAAACTGTCTCTGGGTCAGTGCTCCTCTTGTCACTGGGGTGGAACCCTCAAGACTCCATCTCAGTACCTTTAGTCAGGGAACATAACTGTACCATAATCCACTGAAATGATATTTTCTAAGCTGTACTGACTCCACACACCCCGTCTCGTCTCCAGGACTTTTATTTTACTGTTCTGGTTTAAATCATTCGGTTATGAAAAGGTACAAATACAAACTTTTCACCTGGAAAAACTTATTTAAGGTTCACAATCAGACCTTAAAACCACTGTTGTACCTTTGAGGGAACATTTACATTGTTTGTACCTTGATGAACAAAAAATGTACCTTTATTTCTAACAGTGTAGTTGGTTAAATTTCTAAAACTGACCATAAAGTTTACAGTTTCAAGAAGACAAATACATCATGAAAGTTTTCACTGGTATCACTCTCTTTTTTTAGGATCTGCAGGTCAGATATTATCTTACAGAATATTTATCTACTTTATCTACAGTTATCTACTGTATCCTTTTCCTGGTCTTGTATGTGCTACAGTACTAATTTAGTAACTGATTCTAACAATATTCATGTTCATTTCATGTTTTTCCCACTTGAACACGTGGAGGTCAACAACAGTCAGTCCTGTTGATACAGTCTGATTGGATTAGCGTGTCGTTCCGCTAAACACCGGTTGCTAATTAACCACTGCCTTTGTGCTGCAGCTGTTACTAAAGTATTAAACATAAAATGGACACAGTAGATGCTTCCGCAAGAATGTTTGACCTGCAGGTTTTGTGGAAGAGATTGACCACAGGAACCTGTCGTTGATCCAACGTGAGCTTTTTAGAACTGAACGAACTGCAATCAGCCAGAATCCAATTAAGAACAGAACACAATTTTAATTTGGAAAAGAAATCACATTCAGATTCATCTGGAAACACTGAGGAAGCTCAACCTGATATTAACACAGTTTTATGGCCCTGTACTGCAAAAGGGAACTTTTTTGGCGGAAGGATTTGCCGATATTAGCACATTTGGTACAATGTTCAGGGCTTTTTTACTTTACTTTGTTCTTAATTTTGTAGAGCTGTTCTTGCAGATTTTAACTGAGCTGTTAACTTCAAATGATACGTTTACAGAATTATAGACACAGATTGTTCTGTTAACTCACAGTTTGTTGTTTAGTGAAGTGTAAATTGTAAATTCGATTGATTTTTTTGTTGTTGTTGTTTTGATCATGTTTTGGACCCAGTAAAAATATAATTTCAACCAGATATTTTTCAAATTTAAATTCCATTAACAAAAAAGAGAACATTTACATGGGCAGACATATTTCACGTTTCTTACAGTTACTAAATTCCACAATGAAAAGACTTTTGTGTTGGTTTTCAGAGGTTATTGTTGTGTTTCTTCTCGTAGTTGGTTATGGTGGATATGGTGCCGGACTCTATCCTGGAGGCATAGCTGGAGGACTGAAACCTGCTAAACCAGGTTAATAGCAGCAGCATGATAAGACATCATTAATTAGCTAATTATTTAAATAGTTACCAAGTTCATTAAAATACAATAATAATGAGGGGGTCAATAATAACTCACAGAAGTTGGAAATATAGATAATGTTTGTTTTGTTCCTCTCTTAGGTGTTGGTGTTGGTGGAGTTGGAGTTCCTGGTGGTGGCCTTGGTGAGCATTATGTAGTTGCTCTCTTTGAAGCCCTAAAAGAACCATAGAAGAGCCACTTTTGGTGCTTTGGTTCCTTTCAGTGGAATCTCCTAACATCTGTCTTCTTTCAGGTGCTGGAAAAGGCCTGAAGCCTGGAAAAGGAGGTAAATAAGCCTTTGCTTTTGATGCTGTTAATTCTGCAGTTGCACATTGCAAGAACCTCACAGCATCAACAATAAAGTTGTTTGAGAAGGAAATTAAATGGCAAAGGAAGTAACAAGCTGGCCGGCTTCTCAAAGCACTCATTCATTAAATAAAAAAAAAAAAAGATATGAGTCAGTTATGCTTTAAATGAATAACTTAATCATAGACTATGGACTATCAAGAGCACTAAAGTTTCAGCAGGGATGCCGTTCCACTGAGGTTGGCAGCACCAGAGGCCTGCAAAAACAGAAAGAGGCAGCATGTCGGCGGCGTTCCTCCAATAATGGTCCCCTTTTCATGGTATTCCAATTGGCTCGGGCCTCAATTAGAGCGCCTCAGATCTACTGCCAAATGAACCAGTGTGTCCTCTTTGGGGAGTCATGCTGGTGGTTTGTGTTTGTGTCTAAATCCAGCGCGTTACTTCACGTTCCGAAATGTCTGTTCTTCAGCATCAGATAGGAGAAGGTTAGACAAATAAGCGAAAGCTTTGAAACATCATGTGCCAGATCCTGAAACCAGAACGTCGAGCTCCTTTCCATGTGCTGGAAAAGGTGAAACAAGATGCTAGATGACTTAAAGAAACAGAACAAAGTGTTCAGAACACAAGACACCTTAAAGCAGCACTTCATCTAAACTGAAAGAAGTAGCAATACTGATTATAGAGAAAAAAAAAGGCTAAATTATGGTGAGCGTGCGCTGCTGCAAGTCGCCCTGCAAAGCCTGAAAATATCATTTAAAAGTCAAAGGTATTGGGAGGGGTTTGGCAGAGTTTCTCAGACCACGTCGTATGTCATTACCCATAAATATTACACACGCAGACTCAAAAAGTAGGTCCGGCTTAATGATTAGGTCTCAAATGATCTCAGAATCAACAATATACTGATGAAGATGTGATGACAATAGCAGATAATTCAATAGATTCAGGTTCATTTACTTGTGGGGGTCCAAAACACAACCCACGCTACAAAATGTTCTTCCACACATTGCGTGCAATTACATATTTCCACCAAAGAGGTCTCCAAATCCTAAATAGTGTTGCTTTAATACAGACTTGGTCTGTAGAACAGCACCACTGGGCCATGGTCCGATACCGGGCCTTGGATCATTTGATACCTTATTTTAACAACATTTTTCTCTTGCAATTACTGATTTTTGTCGTACCCATTAATGAAGCTCCTTCAGTTTTTAAATAATATTGATAGACGACATTTAGACTGAAATGTAAATCATTTACAAAATTGAAAGTAAACTGGATTTTTGTCCTTTTTGTGTTTATGTTGTGTTTAAGTCCTTTTTGCTTTTAATTGTGGTAGGATGTTTTGATATGAAGAATACTGCAGCTATTCTTTTAAATCTCATTGCTTGCTTGCTAGCAGCTCAATAGACAGACAGTAGGGTCCTACTTCATCAGAGTTATGGGGAAAAATGTTCTATTTGGTGATATTAACTATAAATAATCAATTCAGTTTTCATTGTGCCAGCAGCGTAAAGAGGCTACAGTGTTCATAAACTCAGCCTCCATCCTGTTTCTGTCTGGCCTCATTTATTTGTGTAGGTAACTGGCTGCTTTCAGCTGGTGGCTTGTGCAAGTGAAGAAATAAGGCTGCAAAAAGAGACCGAAACAATTCCAAGTAGAAAAAAACAGTACTCAATCGTAAATATAATGGCCTCCACATAAAACACGGATTGATTACCAGTGTTAGCGAATGATGCTCCGAAACCGTCCAGTTGCTGTGTCGTTTGGGGACAAAATATTCCTTAACATGTCAAAACAGGCTAATTATGTGCAGTCTGATGTAGACTGATTTGTGTGTGTTCTTCTCTAGGGCCCGGTACTGGAGGGACAGCACTAGGCCCCGGCGCCCCAGCTGGAAGTAAGACACATGACCACGAAGTTGCAACACTGCCAAAGCTCATAGCATGCAACAACAGGCACATCTTAAATCTGACATTAGGGAGCATCCAGGTGTGGGGTCCTCACTACGTCTCAATAAGCTGTAGTTTTTAACACACACACTGAGGCAGTGACCAAAATAGATCCCTACTCCCTCATTAGTATTGAGCTATATGGGGGTGACCTATTAAGTCTACTGAAACGCATGAATCAATAAATGAATTCTTTCTTATAGCCATAGACATGGGTGTCATCTGATTCAGACTAGTATGAGTCAAATTATGAGTCAGTTAAAGACTAGTTCAATTTGAGTTGCGAGTTAATTAATAACTAGTCAGAGTTAAGTTGTACGTCAATTAAGGATTAGTCAGAACTGGGTTGGGAGTCAATTAAAGATCAGTAAGAGTTGAGTTGCAAGTCAATTAATGACTAGCCAGAGTTAAGTTGCGAATCAATTAAAGCCTAGTCAGAGTTGAGTTGCAAGTAGAGACCAGTCAGAGTTGAGTTGCGAGTCAGTTAAAGGCTAGTCAGAGTTGAGTTGCGAGTCAGTTAAAGGCTAGTCAGAGTTGAGTTGCGAGTCAATTAAAGACTAGTCAGAGTTGAATTGTGAGTCAATTAAAGATCAGTCAGAGTTGAGTTGAAACTAATTTAAAGACTAGTCAAAGTTGAGTTGTGAATCAATTAAAGACTAGTCAGAGTTGAGTTTTGAGTCAATTATGGCTCAGTCAGAGTTGAGTTGCAAGTTAAGTCAGAGTTGAGCTGCAAGTCAGTTAAAGTCTAGTCAGAGTTAAGTTGCGAGTCAGTTAAAGGCTAGTCAGAGTTGAGTTGCGAGTCAATTAAAGACTAGTCAGAGTTGAATTGCGAGTCAATTAAAGATTAGTCAGAGTTGAGTTGCAAATCAATTGAGGACTAGTTGAGTTGAGTTGCGAGTCAGTTAAAGACTAGTCAGAGTTTAGTTTGTCAATTAAGGACTAGTCAGAGCCAGAGTTGAGTTGCAAGTCAATTAAAGGTCAGAGTTGAGTTGCGAGTCAATTAAAGACTAGTCAGAGTTGAATTGTGAGTCAATTAAAGATCAGTCAGAGTTGAGTTGCAACTAATTTAAAGACTAGTCAGAGTTGAGTTGTGAATCAATTAAAGACTAGTCAGAGTTGCATTGCAAATCAATTGAGGACTAGCTGAGTTGAGTTGCAAGTCAATTAAAGACTAGTCAGAGTTTAGTTTGTCAATTAAGGACTAGTCAGAGCCAAAATTGAGTTGCAAGTCAATTAAAGATCAGTCAGGGTCAAGTTGCAAGTCAGTTAAAGACTAGTCTGAGTCAATTTGCAAGTCACTTAAGGACTAGTTAGCTTTGAGTTGCGAGTCAATTAAGGACTAGTCAGAGTTGAATTGTGAGTGAAATTAAGGATTAGTCAAAGTTGAGTTGTTAGTCGACTAAGAACTTTTCTGAAATGAGTTTCTGAGTCAGGGTTTTTTTTTTTCTAATGTAATAAAGAAATGAATGAATCCAGTCAGTTTTAAACTGTACTTTGACTGGATAAAATGCTTCAGCCTTTCAAGTAAAATAAATAGACCAGCTTTATCTGACCGCACTGTAGTTTTACTACGAGTGACGCATTGTTGTAATTTTTATATCAGCACTGGCTGTTTTTCATTAAGGCCTTACTACAGATTTGATCAGGTTACATTACAGAGCTCCTGACATACAGCATTCTTTACACATTTGCAGGATTAGCTCACACTTGTAAAGCCAGTGAGCACCACTGAGACATCAGGTTACAGTATTTACATCTGGAACCTTTCAGAGCTAAATTACAGTGGGTGTGGGTGGGGCAGTGCGGGCCTCTGCTGTTTGGATGATTTTACACGTTATTTTTATTGAATGCATTTTACTTCTGTGTGTACAGGCTGCCTTTGATTTTGCTCGCTATATTAAAAGCCTTTATGTCACCTGTTTGTGTTTATATGCAGAGTTTGGCCGTTGGCTATGTACAAGGCTCTGCTCTTAGCTGGAGTTCTTTATGCAATAATGAAAAGTGGAATAAAAGTGTTTTCAATGCCTCTCTCTCTCTCTCTGTCTCTCTTTCTCTCTATCTCTCTCTCTCTCTCTCTCTCTCAGCTCCAGTTATTCCTCAGACTGGTCTACCAGGTGTAGGCCCTGGGGGGAAAACTGCAGCAAAAGCAGCAGCAAAGGCAGCAGCAAAGGCAGCAGCAAAGGCAGCGGTGCCAGGTATGTTTTGTTTTTAGACCTCCAAAAATGTTGTATAATTAGGTTTTATCAGGTCATCATGCAATATGCAAACATAAGATATCCCAGCTAGAAATTGTTTGTTCTAAAAACATGTTGAGCACTTGTTATTTTAATGTTTTCAGCTGGAATTTCTCTAAAAGCCTCATTGTGAAACCTAGTCTGTGGCCCTGACAACATCCTCAAAACCACTTCTGAATGTTGCAGTTAAAACGTGACGTCTTAGTTAGCATTTAATCTTATAGGAACATTAGTTGAAACGGTAAACATCCTTAAAAAGTTCTTTGGACATTAAATTAGATTAAAAGGTTCCATCAAAACGTCAGTAGAACGCGTAGATAATGTTAGCCAAAGTTTTGGGAGCATTCCCTGCTAGCTGGGATGTTAATGCTTGGAGGCAATACTTTCATTTTGTCTTAATGTTCATATATAGTTATGTAAATCTATAGTTAATTCCAGTAAGTGGCTCAATTAATTGCATTTATATTGAGTTTCCACTCTGTTTTCAAAGGCCCAGTCCCATTTCTTATTTTTACCCCTACCCCTTGTTTTCGAGAGTTGCCCCTTAGAACTGAGTTAAGGGTAGTGGTTTAAATTTTCCCTCTGAAATGGGACCCTCAAATAAAAAGAGCATTACTTCATTAACAGCTACTAGCGCTGCTCTGTAGGCGACCCTGCCAGTCTGCAGTGACAGCAGAGGAGGGTAAAGTTCAGCTCCTCACTGCTGGGCTTTAGTTACATTTAGGGCATCATATGCCTTCATAGAGGGGGGCAATTATTTATTATCGCCCACCCCTAATTCTTCAGTGACGTGAAGCTGAAGTCAGATATTCACCAGCTTCTTGTTTGAGACATTAGCATATTATTAGGGAATGTTTATGCTTGTTATGACGAAAAGGACCATAATACACAGAAATTACATGAAACTAATATAATACAGTGATTATCGAATTTTTTTAACAGAGAAAATTCTCACATTTGTGTGTTTCTTTGGTCTCTTGTTCAACCATCTTGCCAGTTTTTCTTTTTTCCTCATAACACTCTGTTTGGAGTCTCTGAAAAACTTCCGTTTGGAGGGCCATGTAGCCCTAACACTTCAGCCCCCTCTATCTCAAAAAGAATCGAGACACCCTACTAGGTGTGAATGCACAAAACAGAGGGGTAGGGCTAAGTGGTAGGGGCGAGGGTGAAATGGGATTGGGCCTTAGTGTTACATTTTTACACAGTTTCTTCACTTGTTCAAAATAAAATTACAGCACACTTTTAGTATTACTGGTGAAGACTTGACTAAGGATTAATGATATTTTAAGATGCTCTATAGTCCAGTGTGCTCTAGTGTCATTATTTGGCTAAATGCAAACAGGTTTTGAACAGATGTTTTGCATGCGTGAGTGTCAGTACTGTAAAATAATTTACAGTAACTGGAAGCATATACTGAGTCATAATTACCCACTTTGCTGTAATCCATATAAATAGTTTATTACTGCATTTTTTATTGATGCAAGTGAACTGTACACTGTTTATAGTACGGTATAGTTCAGAGGCAGAGTAGTGCTGTAAATATGTAATACAGTCTGTCTACCTTAGATATACTGGAAAAAGTTTGACGGAAATATTACACATTGTTGAATTTCAGCTAAATATAGCTATAAAGTCAACAGTATGTTTACACTATTCATTACAGCTCGCACACAAAATGTGTTTCAAATAAACAAGATATCAAGTCATAACTGCATTTTCACAGAGTATCAATACCTACAATGTTTGCTTTTGTCATCTTAAAGGCTCATTTGCTAATATTTAAAAATTAAGATTATAATTTTCATACATTTTTAAATGTAATAGATACACGAGTTTACATACATTTATTTTGTGTACAGCACATTTCTATGTGCAATATTTCCCCACACATTTTCAAATACATGTATTTTAAAATATATTTGGTTAATATGGCAATACATTTTGTAATACATTTCAGTGTTTGGAGTGTATTTCAACATGGACTGCAATGTATTTGAAATATATTTCAAATATATAAAATATATAAAAATATATGACCATGCATTTTTTTCATGTTGGTGCACAAAATGTAGTTGTGTTATAATTGAAGTTAGGGGGGAGGAGCATGCCTACAGCACAAAATAAAAGTCATTTTTAATGTTAACTTCTTTGACATGAGGATGTCCAGTGGATTACTGCAGGATTTCTGCTGTGAGTTTACAGCGTATACACTAGTCATTATTCACTGATCACATATTTCATCACTGCCCTCTGCAGGTGTGGGAGTACCTGGAGCTTATCAAGGCGGACTTGTACCTGGACAAGGTGTGTGAACACTTTTTTGTTTTTGTCACAGTGTGAACATGCCGGATACACTATTGTAAACTTCTAATTTCTAACCGTCTGCACTTGTTTTATTTATTTTCTATGTTAGTTCTGTTGCTATTTTATTTGAATTTGCTATTTTATTTGATAATTTTATTTGTAAAGTCAACTTTTTCTTAATGTCTATTTTCTTAGTTGGTTCTTTTGCTTAATTATTAGTATTTGTTTTTCATACTGCTTCTCAAGAGGATCACACCAGTGATGGAAAGCAGATATTCACATACTTTTGCCAGCAAAGACATTTAATGTTGGATCACTTAGTTAAATAAATGAATGAAAAACTTTATATTTTTTGTGTTGTTTATTTAATTGAGGTCTTTTTTATCTATTGTTACAAATAAAATAAGATCTTATTTTTAGTCAAATTTATGTAGAAATTCACAAAATGAAAGAGTTCACAAACTTTCAACCAGCACTGTTTTTTATTGCTGTTTTACCTTTGTTGCATATTTGAGCTTTTATTTATTATAGTTTCTTTTATAAATGTTCTTTGTTTGTTTAATCTTGTTAGCTTGATTTGTTTTAATTGATAAAATTTCATTTTTAACTTTTTTAGTCTTGACTGTTTGTTTGACTTGCTTGGCTAGCCTGTAAATGAGGGTCATCCTCAATGTTCTTCTGAGTCGGTTGATTGATTGATTGACATTATCTGCTTTAAGAAACATGCAGCACTGTTGATATGAGTATTGATGCAGTGTAATTGTTTGTCTGTACAGGGTTTGGTGGACGCGGAGTGCTCCCAGGTGTAGCGACAGGAACTGGACTAAAACCAAAATCAGGTGCATCATTTATCATTAAAACCTGGTCAAAATGTTTATAAAATCTTTTACAAACATAAAGCCCTTTAATATGATAGTTATTATGATTGTTAATATATAGCACTGTGGAAAAGTCTTGAAAATGCAAATGAAAAAAGCATATGTTTTCACAAAAATGACAACAAATACAGCCCCATTTCCAAAAAAGTTGGGACACTGCAAAATGTAGATAAAAACAAAATGCAATGATGTGCAAATCATTTAAACCCCATATTACATTGAAAATAGTACAAAGACAACACATCAAATGCTGAAACTGAGAAATTTTTATTTTTAAAAAATATATGCCTATTTTGAATTTAATGCCAACAACATGTTCCAAAAAAGTTGAATTTCAGCTTCTCAACAGTTCAGGGTCTCCTTTGTCGTATTTTTCATTTCATAGTGCACCAAAGCTTTTCACTGGTGACAGGTCTGGATTGTAGACAGGCCAGTTTAGTACCTGGACTCTTTTAATACAGAGCAATGCTGCTTGACATTGTCTTGCTGAAATAATCAAGGCCTTCCCTGAAAAAGACGTCTTCTGAATCGCAGCATATGTTGCCAAAACATGTATATATCGTTCAGCATTAATGTTGCCTTCACAGATGTGCACATCACCCATGCCATGTGCACCAATGCACTCTTATACCATCGTGAATACTGGCTTTTGAACTGTGCACTGATAACAAGCTGAGTGGTCTTTAGCCCAAAGGACGCAGTGTCCATGATTTCCAAAAAGAATTTCAAATTTTGATTTGTCAGACCACAGGACACTTTTCCACTTCCCCTCAGTCCATTTTAAATGAGCTTGGGCCCAGAGAAGGTGGCGGCGTTTCTGGATCCTGTTTATATATGATTTCTTCTTTGCACTTTAGAGTTTTAACTTGCATTTGTGGATGCAGTGATGAACTGTTTTCACAGACAGTGTTTTTCAGAAGTGTTTCTGAGCCCATGCAGTGATTTCTACTACAGAATCGTGGCCGTTTTTAATGCAGTGCCGCCTGAGGGCCCAAAGATCACAGCTGGCAAATACTGGTTTTCGGCCTTGTCCCTTACATACAAAATGTTATTCTTGAATTGTTGCACTATTTGATTTTATTTTGATTGCACTATTTGTCTTTCACAGAGTGGTGAACCCCTCGTCATCTTTACTTCTGAGAGACTCAGCCTCTCTGAGATGCTCTTTATACAAAATCATGTTACTGGCCTCTTATCAATTAACCACCAGTTGTTTCTTAAGCATTACACAACTTTATCAGCCTTTTGTTGGAACATGTTGTTGGCATCAAATTCAAACTGGGTAAATATTTTTCAAAAAACAATCAAAATTTCTCAGTTTCAACATTTACTATGTTGTCTTTGCACTATTTTCAATGAAATATATGGTTTAAATGATTTGCACATCATTGCATTTTGTTGCAATGCTTCCCATGTTTTTTGGAAATGGGGTTATAAATAAACAACCAGTTGTGATTGTTCTGCATGTAAATCTGTTAGTTTGGCCATTTCCAAAGCTCTCCTTAACAACGTCCAGTAATTACAGTTATCATCCAATACCTTCTTTATCTAATCAATCCTTCATTAAATTAAATCAGGTGATGGAACTAAATAAATCCATGCGATGGCTGAAGTGCAGCATGAAGTCAGAGACCAAACCTGTGATTTTCTAACCTACATATTCATAACAACACATTATGTCGTAAAGTGTGTTATATGGTGTTTGTGTTGATGTAAACACACTTACTACCCAGATATTGAAGGTGAAACATGTCTTGTACTCTTTGTGTTGCTCTGCAGGTGCTGGTGGCGTCCCAGGTCTGATGCAGCCGGGAGTTTTTCACGGATACCCTCTCAAATCTCCCAAAGCTCCAGGTATTTCACTGAGTCCGTTGATCTTGTTGTTTAAATCTCATTCAGCTCTTCTTTATTGCCTGGTTTGCCTGTGAAAATGATCTTATAACAGGTGGGCAGTAGACATGAGCAGCTAGCCCATAGCAAGTTAGCGCTGCTCTTTATCTGGAGAGAAACACAGGTGTGTTGGATCTTTGTGATGTGAAGACAAGATCTTAACTCTTCAATTTCAGCGTATTTTCTTCCAGTGCGCAGCCACTTTCCGTCTTATAATGGACACGACTTCATGCGCTTCTATGGGTACCACCCCAAGGTTATGTATGGTGCGTTGATCTGCAGCATTTGCTGTACCAGCAGTTCTGTTTTTGGGGCCAATAGTATGAACATAGATTAATTACTAATCTGTTCTGACTATTAACCCCCAGGAGTCGAGAATTAATACCGCTGTTTTGCTGTGTTGTTTAAATGTAAAGGGCTGTCAGGTCCTTTAAATAATTAATCACAATTAATTTCATATTTTATGTAGTTTAACATGAATAATGCCATTGTGATATGTAGATAATCATGATTAATTGCATTGTTTCGGTGCAGTTAATCATGATTATTCACATGATTTTTTGTAGTTATGATTATTGTGCCTTGTTATGTGCAGTTAATCATGACTAGTTGCATTGTAGAATGCAGTAAATCACAATACATTGCATTATTTGGGTGATTAATCATGATTATTTGCATTATTTCATGCAATCACAATTAATTGCACTGTTTTTTATTTAATGTAATTATTTATTGCATTATTTATTATTTATTGCATTGTTTGGGGCAGTTAATCACAATTAGTGGCATTATTCATGATTAATTGCATTATTTTGTGTGGTTAATTGTGATTAATTGCATCATTTTCTGTGGTTAATTATGATTATTCACATTATTTTGCATAGTTATCATGATCAATGGTATGGTTATGTGTAGATAATCATGATTAATTGCATGTTTGGGGCAGTTAATTATGATCATTTGTATTATTTTGTGTAGTTATCATGATGAACAGTGTTGTGTTGTGTGGTTAATTGCAATTAATTGCATTACTTTGTGTAGTTAATTGCAATCAATTACAATATTTTCTGCAGTTAATCATGATTATTTGCATTATTTTGTGTAGTTATCACAATTACATTTGTTTTGCGTTGTTTGGGACAGTTAATCACTGTTACCTGCATTATTTTGTGATTTAATTGCATGATTTTATGTAGTTAATTGCAATTTCTTGCATTGTTTTCTGCAGTTAATCATGATTTTTGCATTTTTTGTATAGTTATCATGATTAACGGTGTTCTTTTGTGTGGTTAATTGAGATTAATTGCATTATTTTGTGTAGCCATTGCGGTCAATTGCATTGTTTTCCACAGTGAATCATGATTATTTGCATTTTTTGCGTAGTTATCACAATTAATTGCATTGCTATGTGTAGTTAATTGTGATTATATGATTCTATCATTTCTTCACTTGTGTCAGTGAGCAACAACTCAGAAATGATCCATATAAAATCACAGCAAGCCTTCGGTATTGCCAGTGACTTCTAAGGGTTAATCTTTAATGCATTCTGACCATTAATAACCCAGGCCTCAAAGTCAGAACTCTGCCACACTTCTAGAAGTCAGTGCTTAGTGTAATCAGTTCTAATGTGTCCGCAACTCTCCAAAAAATGGACTCATGCGTCTCCAGTGTCCAGCTGAAGTGGTTTACAGGTGTGAGCTCCAGTCAAATTATGATTGTGAGCTCAATTCTGACAAATCTTAAAGAATCTAGGATTTGAAATAAAGTCCGTTTTGTAGTCATTTTCATTAAGCTTGTGTATTCTATGGGGAAATTTAGTTTGACTGATTATTTCCTGAACCGATACCAAGCCGTTTTATCCAAAAGCGGACATTTGAATGGATCTAAAGAGAACAAAACTTGAAGCAAAAGTGAAGTGAAAAGATGTTTGGAGATGGAAATGTCCAATTTTTAGAGTAACCCCAGCTTGGGTAATGTAATGTTTCCCAGGTTTGGGGAAGATTAGGTCATGCTTTAATTGAATTCAGCTGTACAGGCTGTTCTCGTCCAATTCTGCACACTTCGTGTGAAGCTCTCAGCGTTTTCTCGGAAATCTTATCCGTAAAGCTTGACCTATTTTACACCAAACCTGTCGCAACTGTAGAGAATAGAGAATGTAGAGCTGTAGAACTGAGTTAATACTAACCTCTATACAGGACATTTAAAGGGGAATTCCACCGATTTTTTCAAAATTTGTACATAAGTGCATAACTAGTCTGAAGTTGCGATGTCATTCTGAGTGCTTTGATGTGAACTGGTTCGCACTGTAAAGAGATAGATGGTTCATCACTGAGTCAGATCAAAATGTAGCTCAAAACTGTTTCTGAGACATCAGGCAGTGAATTCATAACCATTTGATGTAATAACTTTCTGTGAGGGACGCTTTTAGAGGTGGACGTCTGGTTCCTATCACCACCACTGTGAACAATAATTACTTTATGTACATTTTAACCATGTAACCATGCTGGACTTTTGGAAAAATGGGCAGAATTCCCTGTTAACCTGAAAGCAGTATATGGAAAAACATTTCCAAGCTGATTATAAGAACCAGAACTTCCAAACATAATAAGCACATCATTGTCATCTTTTTTGTAGATGATATTCAGATGATCTTCAGTTCAACATGTATGAAAACTGCACACTGTGTTCTTTCCACTAGGTGGCGTTCCTTACACTGGTGGCAAACTTCCGTATGGTACAGTAATGCAGTCTTGAGTGCATGCATGAATAAGATCTGTGTCCATTTATTTATTTATTTATTTATTTTTTGTTGGCATGTTGCCTCACTTTCGCCCACTGTGCTTCAGGTTATGGTGGCTTTGGTGGTGGTGGGGGCCTCCCGGGGGGCAAAGGAGGAGCTGGTACTAAACCAGGCTACCCCACAGGCACCGGTGTGTAATAAGCAATCGTGATAATATTGCAGTAAGACAAGAAAACCAATACAAGGGCAATGAGAACACTGCCATGTTTAGCTCTGGCTGCAGATTCTCTCAGGCTCTGAGTGCATGTCCACTGGCTGATGTTGCCTTTGTGTGTTTAGGTGTGGGGACATTAGGTGTTTCAGCTGCACAGGCCAAAGCTGCTAAGTATGGTAAAGACTCACTATTCAGTCTCTGATTGTGATGTTGAAAGCACTGCACTTTCACATGTCCACATTACCGAAGAGCAGATCACTGTACAGTAGGGGCGGAGGGTGTGAATACGTTATGAGGATTTCACCACTCTGTAGATATGAGTGATGAACCCAAACATCTGCTTGAACACTTTAATTAATTCTAATAGATACAATAAAAGCATCATTTCAGACCAAATATGATAACCGTCCCGTTGCTGCAGCGTTTTTGCCAATCAGGATCCTCCCTCACAAACTGCACCAGCTCTACTTAATAAGCGACATAAGCGGCTGATCAAGGCCGTGCCACTAGGGGGCCCCCTAACAACTTCTGGGTGAGGGAAAAAACTAATCGTTAATCATTTCCCAAAAAAAGTGAAAATGTGGAGAAAAGGCTAAAAGCTAAAGATACACTTTGGTTTCATTTTGCAGTTTTTTTTTGCCTTATACTGTTTTTTCAGCTTTTGGTTGGATAAACAAGAAATCGTCAATCTGAACGGAAGATGCTGAAATCTAATTACAGTTATCTGTAGCTACACAAGAACCCCAAACAGGCATTCGCCATCATCCAATCATCAGTAATAACTGATAATATGTATTTATTGATTTATTTATTTACATAATTTATACCCTTTGTGGTAGTCATTTTACAGCACATCAGCTAGCAAGCTTACTTAGTTTGCAGATCAAACATAAACAAAAATAGACTGAAAATAAATAAACAAACCATAGAGAATTCAATTATATTAGCGTTCAATTAATGGTTTAGTCCTAATAGTAATGCATGAAATAAGGTACTAAATTAATCATTCAAAACAATAGCTTAATTGATCATTTAAAACAAGGGCTTCTTAAACAGTTTACATGGTACAGATGTGAGAGAGTGCCTGGGCAGATCGGGCCCCCGCAAAAATCTACATCCAGCACCTGCTCACGAAGCATATTCAATGTGGCCTCTTTCTATCATTCCACTGATTGTTTTAATTAATGTAATCAAATGAAACATTTCTTACCTGTAACTCTGTTGTCTATATGTTATCAGTGAACTAAGACACTGTTGAGAATGTTGAGCTGCTAGTGAGCAATGAGAAGTGAGAACGCTGTTTATCTAAAAGTAGCATTTAAACTGGAATCATGCTAATTCTGGAATCTAACTGGCCCTGAGCCAGGCTGGGTGTGCAACATGAGCTGCCATGGTGATGTAGCATCGTACTGTAACACTGTAAAATTACAGTAAATTACTGGATAATATACTTGCATTATTTTAACAGTATTTTACTGAAGCATGTTAACAGTAAATTACAGTAAAACAGTAAAAAAGCAGCTGTATACTGTGACTCCACACTCACCAGCACCACATTACTGTGATGTAGCTGTTATTCTGAGTACACTTACAGTAATAAGCTGTGAAATACAGTAACCTCCTGTATTTTTACAGTAACAGCTGTAAAAGTAATGCAACTCAGAGACCTGTAATTTACTGTAAATTTGCAGATGGAAAAAAAAAAGACTTTTAATTTACCAGGCCCATAAATAATTTCAGTCAATATATTTATTCACAGTGTTTTGCATCATAGATGTGCAGAATATCTCAAATATTACAAACACGTTTAATAGATGAGTGAACAACATCAAGTGTTTTAGAATTTAAACTTTAAAAGACACAACTCATCAGAACAAAAACACTGTTTTTGTTTTTATTTCATTAAAACAATAATTTGCTGTGTTATTCCGGAAAATGTCTTAAGAATATTTGATTTAACAATTAAATGAATACAGTGTGTTATTTTGAAAAATGTATGTTAAATTATTTGAAATCCTGGCAATAAAGGACAATGTGGTAAAAAGTAAGCTTAAAGTTAGCTGGATAAACAAAAAGTCCTGCTTTGGAAGTCCCGCCTTTCTTAGCTACAGCAATGAAGATACTAGTGTATTAGCTTTTACACAATGAGGAAAACTCTAAGATGCAAAATGTCTCACAGTGCTTGTTTTAATAGGTTTAAAAAGAAACTTTCTTTCATTAACTTAGAAAAATGATAAATTTGCAGTCATACCTCCCTCCCCTACTCTGTAGAGAGGCAGTTTGAACAGTCGTACTGTAGGGTTCTCTGTTGAGGTTCTGTGTTCTCCTCTAGGTGCTGGAGCTGGTTTAGGTGGAGTTGGAACTGTTCCAGGAGCGGGTGGGCTTTACCCCGGAGTTGGAGGTGACAAAAGAACACAACCTCCTCATTTTTACATATTACAGAATGTTTCAGCATGTCCAGTCTAGTTTTTGAGTCATGTGTATATAGTGTATGATTTAGTGTGGGTTCCCCATTTCAGATATTTAGTAGTAGAACAGAAGACCTGCTCACTGACAACACAGTTACAGTAAAAGCCAGTGGGCAGATGCTGGTTTTCTGATCTTCTACTAAAGTCAGGGACTGTCTGCCGTAATCAGCCATACACCGAGATATACATATACAGAGATTAGGGTGAAGAACACTGAAGTAATCCTTTCATATCGGTCAGAATCTGCAGTGACTCTTGTTATCTTCTCCGTGTCCAGGTTTAGGAGGTCTTACACCAGCTCAGGCCAAGGCAGCTAAATACGGTGAGGGCTGAGGCCGCATTTCAGCTGCTCTCCACTGTGATGTGGCTAATGGTGATGTTGCTGCTCATTAGGTACTGAGTTATGATTGTGATGGTTTGGGCTTTTCTCAGGTGCTGCAGCTGGTGTTGGTGGTGTTGGTGGAGTACCAGGAGCTGGAGGAGTTCTCCCTGGAACAGGAGGTAAGATACATCAATACAGAGAGAAAGGAGAGATATAGAAAGAGAGAGAGACACACAGAAAGAGAGACACAGGGAGAGGCAGAGAGAAGAGATATATAGAAAGAAAGAGAGAACAGAAAAACAGAAAGACAGACAGATAGACAGATAGACAAAGAGATAGATAGACAAATGGATGGACAGACAGACAGACAGACAGATAGATAGATAGATAGATAGATAGATAGATAGATAGACAACTGGGTGGATGGCAGAAAGAGACTGATAGATAGATAGATAGATAGATAGATAGATAGATAGATAGATAGATAGATAGATAGATAGATAGATAGATAGATACACAGACAGTGAGAGAGTTCAGCTAAGTTAGATTATGGAGATGAAGCAGCAGCTCTGAGACACCGTGTGGTTTGCTGTCCTGTAGGTGTAGGAGGTCTCACTCCTGCTCAAGCAAAAGCTGCTAAATATGGTAACTATACTTTATTAATCTATGGAATCCAAACATTTCATCCATATCACATATACGCCCCTGGCCACTTTATCAGAAACCCCTCTTTCGTGTTGGAGCTGGTTTAGGTGGAGCAGGCCTGGGAGGTGCAGGTCAAGTTCCAGGAGTTGGGCTTTACCCTGGAGTAGGAGGTAGGACAGAGTCGTTTGTAATGGTAATTACTCTCTGTGGAGGTATGTAATGTTCAGAAATAACATGCTTCCTGAACATCTGTAGGTATAGGAGCACTCACACCTGCTCAGGCCAAGGCAGCCAAATATGGTAAAGTCTTTAATGTTCTATGTAATGTAGATTCTTAAAATGTATCAAGTTTTTGCACAGCAGCCTATTTGTATGGTTTAGGTTCTTAGGTCTTCTCCCCTCTCCTTCTCTGAAGGTGCTGCTGCTGGGTTAGTACCTGGAGCTGGTGCTGGGTTGGTTCCTGGAGCTGGTGCTGGGTTGGTACCTGGAGCTGGTGCTGGGTTGGTACCTGGAGCTGGTGCTGGGTTGTTACCAGGAGCTGGAGCTTTCCCTGGAGCAGGTATCAGAGACAACTGCTGTTCTTTTTTGTCATTTTTGCCTCCTGATATAAGGTTAATCGTAACATTAGATTTTTTAGCCAGAGATAAACATTGAAACTATATATATATATATATATATAAGGGGTGGGAATCTCTAGGCACCTCACAATTCGATTCGATTACGATTCAGAGGGCTGCGATGCGATTATAGAACGATTATCGATGCATCTTTTTTTTTCTATATAGCATTTAGATTTTCTCACTGTGTGAGCTCAAGTTTCGAGTTCAAGTTTCAAGTTTATTTGTCACTTGCACAACATGTGAGGACATTTATGCATTGAAATGCTTGCGGTGAGGCTCAGCTAATCACTCTACAGAAAGTAAACAAGTAAAAATAAAAATACAAGAAAAACCAACTGAAATATATTAAATATACACAAAATATACACAAAATATATACAGAATGTAGAGACAATATACATTTTAAAGTGACTAAGTAACTCGGTGTTATTGTTATTTAAAGTGACTTGGAAGTTTTAAGGCAAAGTATTTGTAATGATCCATAATGAATTTACTTCCAATATCTTTTTTAATAAAACAAACGGAAGTGTTGTGGCAAGTGAACTAGAAGGCTCTCATTCACTGCTCTTGTTTGGAGCACGAGAAGCTGCTGCTACTCATCTGCGATAAAATGCGCAGTTACGGTGAAATAAGATCCAGTGGTGATGGATGTCCACGCAGCACATGTTACAGCTATTCTACCCGTTTTCTTTAGTGATTTTATAACTTCGGTTTTGGTCTCGTTGTAGAGATGGGGGGATCGCTGTGTCAGTAAAGTATCTTTGAGATGGGACGTGTGAAACATAGCGCAAAAGCCCTGTTTCTCAACGACTGAGAACCGGCGTGCAGACTGCAGGTCACCTAGCAACGATGCGTTATTCGCATTTATAAGCAGCGCAGTTGGTTTCCTGGTACGTTAAATCTGCAATGAGAGACTGTGGTCAGTTTCTCTTTCAAATTCTCCCGTTCCACCTTAAATAGTGCCGCATTTACATTCGGCGCCTCAGTTAGAATTTAAGGTGGAACGGGTAAATTCGAACAAGAAGCTGGAGAATGAGAAGTGACTTCAGCCTCGTAAAACAGTCGAACGTTGAGAGACATTTAACTGATCTACTTCTGAGGAAAAGTTTTCTGGCGGAGATGGGAGAAAGCAGCTATAGCTGAGCTAAAGCTTAAAGCACAGCAGAGTAAATCTGCGTTTTCATTTATATTGTTTAGCCGATATTAGGACATTATCACATACTGAGACATACTGGACATTAAATGTTGCGGCTCCCAAGGTGGTTTGATTTTTGTTGAAAGGACAAAATGGCTCTTCTTATCATTTGGGTTGTGACTCCTGACCTAACCTGGCTTTTAATGCAGAGGTTGCCGGTCGGATTTCTCGCTCATCCCGTTGTGTTTTTGTTGTGTGTCGTCACAGACTGTCCGGGCGCTGCACTTACCCACTTCCAAGTTCCGCCTTTTGCGTTCCGTCAACATTACGTTATTAATTAAATATTTAGAACCATGAGTTATGTATAGAACCATTTCATGATTAAAGGGCTCTTTGCATGGCAAGATAGTTGTTTAAGGGTTCTTTAGCAAAAAAAAAAAATGGTTCTTTAAAGAACCATAAACACTAAGAACCTTTTGCATGGTTAAAGGGTTCTTTGCATCATGCCGTTCTTGAGATTGATGGAGAATGTGCTGTAGGTGGTTCTATATAGAACCTTTTTGAAAATGATTCTAAATAGCACCTACAAGGGTTCTTCTATTGTTATGGTGTCAAGAAGAACGCCTTTGGTTGCTATTTAGAACCCTTTTCAAAATGGTTCTATATAGAACCATCTGTAACACATTCATGCGCATTTTCCATCAATCTGAAGAACGCTTTCATGATGCAAAGAACCCTTTTACCACGCAACATTTTACCAGTGTTCATGGTTCTACATACAACCAATTTCTGTGCTAAAAGACCCTTAAAGAACCATCTTTTTTATAAGTGTAGAACCATTTACAACACATTCCTCATCAATCTGAAGAACCCTTTCACCATGCAAAGAACCCTTTAATCATGAGGTTCTATGTCTGAGTCTCTACAATCAACCATTTCACACCAAATCACCCTGAATCACTCTGTTTACATCTCAAACACTGAGTTATACAGGAACTTTACGAAATAAATGCATTTGTCTTTCAGAAGAGATCACCATGGCAACCGTCAGTTGTGTGCTAATGACTTATCCACAATAAAGAAGGAGGCTAGTTGTTGGTTATCCTCACCGTAGTGATGCTTTGATGACGTAATGCTTCCTAGCTGCACCCCCAAACTGTAAACAGACCCCCCCACCAAATGAAATTCAGGCTGCACCACTGCTGTGAAAGCTAGTATCTGTGATCACAACCAATCAAAATGACCATCGTTTCTTTTTTATTGCAGGCTATGCTGCTGCAAAAGCTGCGAAATATGGTAAATACATCTTCTGATGTAGATCACACACCCATTCATACATCCATAGATTTTAAATTCATTTCTTCACCACTAATGTGCTCACGTTCTTTACTGGACAGGTCCAGGTGGAGTGTTGGGTGGAGCTGGTGGCATTCCAGGAACATTACCAGGCGCTGGAGGTAAAGATTACACACAAATATGTCTCCAGTGTTTCTTCTGAAATTAAGGGTATTAATAGCGAGTTTGTGCTGCAGTAACAGCCTCTACTCTTCTGGAAAGGCTTTACACTAGATGTTGGAACATTGCTGTGAGGATTTGATTGAGCATTAGTGAGGTCAGGTACTGATGTTGGATGGTCAGTTCTGGATCACTCCAACTCATCCCAAAGGTACTGGATGGAGCTCCATCACTCCAGAGAACACAGTTCCACTGCTCCACAGCCCAATGCTGGGGGGCTTTATACCCCTCTAGCCTACACTTGGCATTGGGCATGGAGACCTTAGGATCATGTACAGCTGCTCTAGAGCGTCCCATTCTATCGGTCAGTGCTTTTCAATGGAGACTGTACAAGCTGTCAGCAATGGGTGACCTTAAAGTAGCTAGAAGGACTGTCCAGGTACTTTTAGATGCTTTATGTCCATTTCTATCAGCAGTGATTCAGCACTCTCAGGAAAAAAATGATGTGCACACTGTATTTAATACAATACAGCACACAATATGCTGTAATAAGCTTTAAATCTTTCTCTGTTGCAGTATATCCTGGTGGAGTTCCCAAGTACGGTAAGATCATCTCATTATTTCAAATTCTTGGTTATTTAAGCTGAATCCAGCTGAGGTTCACAGTGAATCTGATGTCTAATCTAATTTAAATCATCTTCATAGATAGTAGGGGAGAGTGGCGAAAAACTTAACACATTATGGTTTTTGCTAAAATTAAGTATAAATATTTAAACAAGTTTAACATTTTGGTAACTCTTCAGCATAAAGGACCATTATAATGTCTCATTAATGATGTTATTAAGAAGTATTAATTCAGTTGCTGCTAATTAACTGGCTCAGAGGCATCCGGTTGTGTGGTTTTTTGGCCTTGCCCTTTACGCACAGAGGTTTGTCTAGATTCCCTGAATGGTTTAATGATATTATGAATGGTAGAGGAAGAAATACCTTAAAATATTGAGGAATGTTATTCTTATCCACTGTGTGGTATTGATGTGTTTGTTACTCAGTGGTCTGGTGGACCCACCACATTATTGTTTTTAAAATCAATACAGTCATAACAATTTATGTCAAATTCCCAGATGTTTAAAATATCACAAGTGTCCAGCGTAGGGTTCTCCTTCAGCAGCTGTAGCCAGTCCGCAGCCTGTCCATGTTGTCCACCCTCACACACACACACACACACACAGACTAACAGCAGGCAATGTAGGAGTAGAACAGAGTAAAGGACACAGCACCTCCACACTTTTATTTCCCGCGGGTTCAGCCCAACACCACATGTGTAATATAAATGTGTGGGGGGTGAACAGTGTGAAGACACTGAAAATGGGTTATTTTATATGGTCTTCACAGAAAATGAGCAAAGGCTAAGAATATGAGGTTGAAATAATAATAAATCGCATTGAGAAAACATTGGTAAACATTGAAAATGGGTCCCACAGACCCCAACACCACACAATGGTTTAGCAATCTGGCTGAAACACTCCTTATAACTTTAGATGTAGACTGAATAGGTGAATCAATGTGAAAGCATTGATTTTCAGTGTTTACATACTGCATGAAAAAAGTGAGGAAAATTCGTTACACTTTTGTGAAACAAGAGAAAAATGCAGAACTTTACAACCTCAAAATAAACAGAAAAACTCAGAAGTGCAGATTTGAACCCCCACAGAATGTAAATGTACTTTCCTACATAATTAATTATATAAAGTAATGACATTAAATAGTGTAGCATCAGCATAGAAGAAGGAAAACAAGGAAAACATTGCCCAGCCCAGCACTACCCCAACACAAAACAGTCAGGGGGTAAAAGCATACAAGGAGAGACACTTCTAACTAGTTAACCCCTTAAAAGGCCAGGGCCCAACAGCAGGAGCAAAACTTTATTACACACTCCTATTATCTATAAATAGCTCAGCCAATTTGGATTGAAGTCCCTATAGTTACTGAACAATAAGATTTAGGCCCAGTCCCATTTCTTATTTTTACCCCTGCCCTTGTTTTCGAGTGTCACCTTACCCCCTGGAACTTGGGGGAGTTGTAGTGGTTAAAACGTTCCTTTATGAAATGGGACCCTCAAATAAAAAGAGCCTCCGTTTGGGGATCATGTAACCCTAACACTTCGCCCTACCTCTCTATCTCAACAAGAATCAGGACCCTACCCCTAAGCGTGAACGCACAAAACAGAGGGGTAAGGGCTCAGCGGTAGGGCCGCCGGAATTGGGCCTTAGTGTGTAATAATCCTGGGATTTTAGGGCGTAACTCCAAAGTCCACCTTCCTCTGACACAATTTACACCAGACCACACAACTAAACTACTAACAACAACATTAGCATAACTACAACTACTATAACAGTCCCCTTTTAACTGCCCTCTGAGAGCCACTTTGCATGGCCACCCCCCTAAGCTCCTCACAGCAGTGTGGCCTGGGGCGGACGACACTATAGTGCTGCAACGACTGTAACGACTCTAGGTGGAAGAGTGTGTCAGAGTGTTTAACCAGCCTGTGTTTTGTTTTGTAGGAGTACCCGGAGCAGGTGCGATTCCAGGCATTGGAAGCCTGGGAGTGCCGGGAGCGGTGCCGGGCGCTGGAGGTAGGCTGATGTTTTGGGTTTCCTCCTTTTTTTCAACTCAAATTTTTCGTTTGAAGTGAAATATGTTTGAGGTGAGATTACCTAGAGGTGCTTACTACTTTAAGCTATTCTGTCAGGCATAGTTTAATATTAACCCTTTAAGACCTGCACTAATAAGTAGCTGCCGTTTAATCTGCTTTTCTCATTTAACCCTATGGAACTAAACGTCTCAAAGGCAACCCATTCTGAGACTTTAGCGGTGGTCCCTTTATCTGATTAAAATCGGCCCCTCAAGTAGTTGGTCCAGTAAAATGGATCAGTATGTGGAATTAGAGCTTTCTGTGATCGACTGTGTTTCCTATCACTGCATAAAAGATGCACAAGGCTCCTTTATTATTGCTTGCACTGTGGTTGTGCACAGATTCAGAGCGCAGTTCTGATCCTTAGGTCACTATTGAGTGTGTTTACGTGTACTTAATAATCCAATAACTGCAGAAAATCAGATTTTGTCAGTAATTCATTCAACACGTTTACATGCACTTGAGTAATCAGATAATGGGAAACTCCAGGTCTACATGAGTCAGACAGTAATCAGATTTTTGATTTACAACCAGCCAATAAACTGACAGAAGAAGACGTGATGTAAACGTAACATAAAACTTGAACTTCATGCCGTGGCTTTTTTTAAAAACATCGATCCACTTAACCTGAAAATATAAACATACATAATCTAGAAGATGAATATTTAAATCCTTGTTTCACTGAGCATGTATTTGGTTCCAAAAGTGTTTTGCTGTTTCTCGCTGCGACGCTGTTCACTTATTTCCGGTACCGCAGTCTGTTTTCGCACATGCTCAGACTGAGAAGTCCAAAACAAATCAGAGTAAGAGTTTACATGTGCTGAGAAATCTGATTACTAAGCTAAAATCCAGCCTCTTTATCAGATTTCTTAATCGGATTTCTAGATCGGAGTATGGTGTTAACATGACCGTTTGAATAATCGGATAACAGCAGAAATCTGATTATTGAGTGCATGTAAACACATTCATTGTTTTATTCAAGCAGAGGAACAATAAAATGTGGCTAATATGTGGCTTGTTTTCCTCTTCATGTGTGTGCTTGTTTAAAATGTTAGTTTATGACAAAAACAAAATAAAAATCTGTAAAGTTTCAGCTTTATTAGACCACATTTTTTAGATATCAGAATAAATGCAGCAACAGTTTAGACGAATCACGTTATTAAAAGGGAAGAGATGATTAAATGGCAGAAATAGTAATTTTGTGTTGCTAATTTGATTTCTCAGTACTGTTGTTATTCGTTCATTCCTTTTGATACGTAATGTGATCTACTGTGATCTATTTTGATTTTGTGTTATAAGCTACCATTTTAAACAATAGAATTGGAATATGCTTCACATTTTATTGTTATTTATTGACAAATAATACAAATTTCCCTGGTGATAGAAACTATTGCAGTTTATTCAACAATAAAGGCAGCAAGGAGCTTTTTTTATACAGTGATATGAAACACGGTAGCTCAAACAAAGCTCCACTTCCACATGCTGATCCATTTTGCTGACCAACAGGGACATAAACACTCACCACCTACTTTGGGGGCAGGTTAAAGGGACATTGGCAAAGTCTCTGCAATGTATTGCTGGTGAGATGTTAGGTTGGATAAGGTCAACATCATTAAACCCAAGAAAAAAAAAGCAAAATATTAATATGAAACAGCTCATATTTGCTGCTTTTTTAGCTCTCTGGAAGATGAAGCCAAACCTCCTAAAGCTGGTATGCACTTACCCTCCCGCCAGCTACTTAAGTGCCATGGTCAAGTTGCAGAACTAATGTATACCACCATCGCACTGACCTGAAATAAATCAAATTGTTATGGATAGTTCTTTCTGCAGCATGAAAAATGGATTAAGGTTTATTGAGTAATGATTTATGAAGAATTTATTTCTTCATTTTCTTTTCTACCAGCTGATTAAGAGTTAGGATGCAGCCTGCCTGCACATGTTCAAGCTTACACATCAAATATCATGATGTGCAGTTTACTCACTAATACCGCCCCCCCTCTCCCCACACCACCATGATGGTCTCTGGATTTTGAACTTTACGCTGGAAACAATCTGGATGGTCCTTTTCTTTTTTGGCCGGGAGAACACAACATCCATTATTTCCATAAACAATATGAAAGGTTGACTTGTCAGACCACAACACGCGTTTTCACTGAGCACCAGTCAATTTCAGATGAGTTTGAGCCCAGAGAAGTCGGCGGCGTTTCTGAACGTTGTTGATATGTGACTTCCACTGTGCAGATTACAATCTTAATATTTTTGAATGCAGCAATGAATGGTGTTTATCTAAAATGTTTTTTTCTGAGCCCATGTGGTGACCTCCATCACAGAAGCATGTCAGTTTTTAATGCAGCGTGGTCAGCTTTGGTTTTTGGCCTTTTCCTTTATGCACATAGATTTCAGATTCCCTGAATCGTTTGATATTATCCACTATAGAGGATGAAATGCCTAAAATTCTTGCAGTGGCTGGTGGAGGAGTATTGTTTTTAAACTGTTGGATGTTTTTGCTGATGCTTTTTCTGCCAAAGTGGCGAATCTCGACTCATCCTTGCTCATAAAGGACCTTCCTGGATGCTCCTTCATAGCCAAGCATGAATGCATCATCTGTTTAAGATGTGTTTTTTTGAGCAGTTTTCAATGTTTCTAGTCTTAAATTGCCTTTTTTTTAAAACGCGTTGCAAGCATTCATTTTTAGAATGAGTGTATTTTTACAAAACAATAAAGTCTATAGGGAAAATCATTAAATATGTTGTCTTTTTACTGTTTACATGTAAATACTGGACTTTCACAAATTTTAGGCTAAATACTTTTTTAGCCTAAAATTTTTTAGCCTAATATTTTTAAGTAAAATACTTATAAGTAAAATGAGTAAAATACTTTATACATATACTTTACATATATATATATATATAAAGATTATGGAATAATATTAAACAATATTTTGTAAATGCATTTAAATAATTTATTTAGTTAGATTTTTTTTATTTTTAAATTTTTTAAATACATTGTAAAACATATTTCAATGTCATATTTTTAATATTGCATTTTATGTTTAATTATATTCAAAAATATTTATTGATTAGAATTGTTTTTTTTTCATTTTTTTTGAGAGAGATTTGAGGTTTCTTATGTTTGAATATGACTTCATTTTGTTTTTCTTCATGTTTCTTTTAGGATATCCTGCTGGTGCTAAGGCGCTTAAATATGGTATGTGTATTAAATTCAATAACTAACTGTATACAAAGAAACCGAGCCTGACAGAGCCTCAGAGAGGCATGGTCAAAAATTAAATTTACTCATCACCTTTACGTTGCACAGTTTGAATGAGGTTCCATCTTTTTTACATTGATATTTTTACCTTAGATATTTTTGCTATTCTATTTAAATGTACACATATGATCACAAAATCAATTATAAAGCAACAGTAGTTATGTAATATATTACATTACTCGAGGTTTGAGTGGGCACTCATGGCTTTTCCCTTTAGTTTTTTCACAAAATGATCACTTATGAGAATAATTTATGTAAATAACAGTAATTCATATCAAATTACAGCATGCATTTGTTATCAATAATTACTCTAGTCTAAATTAGCCATTGAAGATTATACATGCTGTGCTGTAATGCATTATCACACCGTTCTGCACAGGTCCTGGTGGTTACGGGGTTCCTGGGGGAGGTGCTGTACCTGGTGCTGGGCTTCCAATAGCTGGAGGTAAACAATAATAATCTGTAATCATCACAGGGCACTAGTATATAGCTTCCTGTCGTAGTAGGGTAACTTCTTAAAGGGCCCGTATCATGGAAATCTGAATTATTCTTACTTATTTGTGTATTTAAAGAGTTTGATGCAGTATGAGAACAATGTTAAAGTTTCATATCGTACAGTACGTGGAAACAAAGCTGAAAAATCAGTCAAATTTGAATAAATTGTGTTTGTGACATCACAAAAGCCAACATATTAAGCCATTTACCCACACTAGAAGTCATAAGTCGGGACTGCTTTCTGAATGAAGCCGCCAATCAGGACAGAGCTCATTTACATGTATCACTCTTAAAGGCAGCCTGTTTAATTCTGACAGTTAAAAAGAGGTTGAGAAATGTAAATTGCAGAAGGTTTTAGAGATTATTATTATCAACTATGGGTTTTTTACCCAGTTCCAACACCAGTTTTTGGTTTCTCCTCCTAAGGCTGTGGTGCTGCAGGTTAGTGCATAGTCACTGTAATAGATTTTGGGTAAGCTGTGTTTGCATTGGCTAATGTTGGTCGCGGTGATGTCATATTTGAACCGGTTCTGCCACACAAACGTTTCTTCCACTGACGAGTAAAGAAAGCCAGATTCAAGTCAACCTGTCAGCTCAATCATGCGCCACGCTGATGAGTTTAAACCACGTTTCACACTGTAAACACACTCATCTAGACAGATGGGGCTCGGACGATGTTTTGAAACCGTCAGATTGCTTGGCAGAGTTAGTGCGAGTCTGAACTGTGTAAAGCTGAATTGCTTCGGGGTCACTGAGATCACGCACAGGTTATGTTCCAGGCATGGCAGGTATGAAAATAATCTGATCCAGTTTGTTCATCAAAGCATCTGGCATTTGTTTATAAATAGCACTTCAATCTGCTGTATGTCATACAGGCACCCATACAAAATGACAAACAGTGTCCAGACAGCCCTTCTAATTGGTGACTTCATCTACTTTAAAGGAGATCCTGCAGTTATCCTGCAGTTTTCTTGTAGTTTTTCCCCACTGAGGTCCACTTATGAGGTTTATGTGGTTTTATGTACCAAAAGGTTTTGTGTCCAAGGAGGTTATTTTTGTTACTGCACCTTGAAGGCCGATCTATGTAAATGAGCTCTGTTCTGATTGGCCATGTTCATTCAAAGATCAGCAGTTTGGTGCTAAAACTCTCTTTATGATATCAGTGGCTAAACTGCTGCAGCGTGAACAGGCTTTTGGAAATGTAATGGTTTTTGTGACATCACAAATGCAGTTAATTCAAAACAGGCTGTATTTTAGTTTCCATATATGTACTGCATGAAGTGGGGGGTGAACAGTGCACTTTGAAGTTTTAACAAGATTCTTAAAACACATTCTCTGGAGTGATGGAGCTCCATCCAGTACCTTTGGGATGAGTTGGAGTGATCCAGAACTGACCGTCCAACATCAGTACCTGACCTCACTGATGCTCAATCAGATCCTCACAGCAATGTTCATCATCTAGTGTAAAGCCTTCCCAGAAGAATAGAGGCAGTTACTGCAGCACACTCACTATTAACGCCTTCATTTCAGAAGAAACGCTGGAGTCTTTATATAGGGTATTCTGAAAATTATTAAAATCAATCTAAATAAATTGAATTTTGCTAATATAGTGCGGTTTCAGTATAAACATACACAGCCATACACATTTACATAATCTAACAGCATTAAAAACAGTCAGTCAACTGAGAAGTTTAGTGCAGAGGTTCTCAACCTTTTCCACCTCAAGGTCTACCTATTTATCACTTGAAAGCATGGATGCCCACAGAAAAAAAAATTTTGGTTCAAAAATTCATTTTTGACAATTTTTTCACAAATTTTCAGATGGCACAACATACCATGTACAACATTCAACGTTAAATATCAACGCATAAGGCAAACATAAGCTTGTTTTATATCTGAAACCATGTGGAAATTCGATAAATTAAGCTAAATTTTTCACTCAACTTTGGGGCAGTGTATTTTGTTTCTGGAGGTAAGTGGCAGAATAAAGATTATTTGCGCACCATTAACGTTATTGTGAATTTTATTAATATTGTTTACAATTTAAGAATATTTTATACGTTATTATTAAGTCAAATTTTTTCACTGACTTTTATGACAAAGTACCATCACTAGCCTATGGACCACTGGCTCCTCCTCAGTACTAGCCCGAGGACCACCGGAGGGTGCTTTGCAGCCCGTTTGTGGTCCACGGCCCAGTGGTTGAGAAACCCTGGTTTAGTGTCTTTAGGTGTGAAAAATTCAAGGTTGATTCTTACTGTTCATTTTAAATTGTCTTTTTGTCTGCAGGATACGGCACCGGTGTGAAACCCCCTAAAGCTGGTGAGTCAGATGTGTTTCTCTGAATTACAGAGCTGTGATGGAGGCACTGCTGCAGGACCCCCTACTTTAAAGAGCTCATATCCAAAAGTCCTTTAACTCCTACACTGTATGGACAAAAGTATTGGGACACCCTCCTATTGATTGGGTTCAGGTGTTTCAGCTAGACCCGTTGCTAACAGGTGGATAAAATAAGCACACAGCCTTGCAGTCTCTGTAGACAAACACTGGCAGTAGAGAGTCGCACTGATGAGCTCAGTGACTTTAAACATGGCACTGTCATAGGATGCCACCTCTGCCATGTGCCAGGAGAACGTTACCTGCCTGACTGCACTGTGCCAGCTATAGAGTTTGGTGGAGGAGGGATGATGCTATGGGGTTGTTTTTCAGGGGTTGGCCTAGAACCCTTAGCTCCAGTGAAGGGAAATCTTAATGCTTCAGCACCAAGACATTTTGGACAATTGTACACTTCCAACTTTGTGTGAACAGTTTGGGGAAGAGCCTTTTCTGTTCCAGCATGACTGAGCCCCAGTGCACAAAGCAGCTCCATAAAGTCAGGCTGGGTGAGTTTGGTGTGAAAGAACTTGACTGGCCCTCACAGAGCCCTGACCTCAGGGCTCTGTGAATGGAGATTGTGAGCCAGACCCTCTTGTCCAACTTCAGTGTTTGACCTCACAAATGCTCTTCTGGATGAACGGGCAAAAATTCCCACTGACACTCCATAATCTGTAGAAAGCTTTCCAGAAGAGTGTTTTCCCTGTTTTGTTATCTAATATTTTCTACTAATGCTCTTTGCTGTCCGGTGTGGTCCAGAGGAGGATGGGTTCCCCTTTTGAGTCTTGGTTCCTCTCAAGGTTTCTTCCTCTTGCTCTTAGGGAGTTTTTCCTTTGCCACTGTCGCCATTGGCGACGCTCATGGGGGGCTTGGACCTGGATTCTTCTGTAAAGCTGCTTTGTGACAACACCTGTTGTAAAAAACGTCATATCAATAAACTTTGACTTGACTTTTGCGGGCTGAAGAGGCTGGACTTGGCCTGCGGGCCTTGTGTGGGGCTTAGAGCAAACTGTTAGAGCAAAGCTGAACTTATGTACAGAGTGGCTATGGCCAACAAAACCTCCTTAATAAAGCACAACCACTTGTGCGAAAGCTTCTTTCATAGTGGTGAACACTACAGTATTACCATCAACCATCATAGGGCAGCATGGCTTGTCACCAGTATGTGCTGTGTTTTGGATGCTGTTATGCTGGTCAGCTACAGTGGAAGTTGACGTGCTGATCACCAGCAAAATCAGCATAGGCTGTGTTTTTGAATGACCAGCTAAACCAGAACCAGACCAGCACTAGACCAGCAGAGTCCAGCTTAAAATGCTTGCTGGTCTATGCTGTTTTTTTTTAGCATAAAAATTGGTTCTGCCTGATATGAGCCCTTTAAGAATTGTTTTTACTAGAATGAAACTGCTAAAAATTAAACAAAAGAGCTTTAAAATATTGTTTTTTGAGCTTAGAATGTACATATGTTTGCCTGTTGTATGGGGTGGTCATATTTTCTTAGTTTTCCTTTTACAAAATTAACTGTTAATAATTAATTAGACTGTTTTAAGCTGCAGTAGCTAATTACATTTATTGTAACTAGACATGGTCACAGCCGCTGACTGAAAAGCTGCTCAGTGGTGATGACAGTTTGGGAATGTAGTGTAGTCTCATCTTCAGAGTCTGACCAAATCGGCTGTCGGTCGAACGTGATCTTAAAAGTTCCATTTTCTGTTTGTGGCTAAGTAAGAAGTAAAAACATTCAAATGGCTTGAGCGTCTCCTACAGCTGTCAAAGTCGTCTCAGTAGAATGATACAGTGTTTGTGAAAAAAACGTGATGTTATGACGAAATAACAGCACAGTTAGAACGCTTCTCAACCAATCAGCTTGCGTGGCCGGAACTAACTGTTGAATAATTTAAGAAGAGCATGTTCTTTCAAAAACATATGGGGCAAAATTACTGACAAAAATAATGAAGCCAAAGAAACTGATCTGACCACAAAAGAAGACCCAAGAATGTGAAGGAACTGGAAATGTTCTGCGTGGAGTAACGGTCCAACAAGTGCTCTCCAAGCTTGTTAAGCATTACAGAAAGCGGCTCAGTGCTGTTATTCTCGCCAGCGGGGGCTTCACCTCATATTAACGATGGGGGTGCCAATATTTTTGAAGCCTATTTTACTAAAGGAAACCTTTTTTTGTTGCCAACAATAAAAAAAGTGCAGCTTGCTCATTTGTTCAAGCCTGAAATATCACTCACTGCGTCTGTGGTTTATTTAATGTGTTGATATCCACGCAGGGTGCCAATAATTCTGGAGTTAAAATTTCAGCACCCCCAACTGAAAATGCCCCCGCCCCCCCAACTGATCTGTGTAAGTGAGATAGTTGAACGTTGTTCCAGACTGGTGCTTACTCTTAATCTTCACAGCTGTTCCAGGTGGTGTTGGAACTGTGCCTGGTGGTGCTGGAGTTGTTAGAGGAACTGGTGGAATCCCAGGACAAGCAGGTAGCCTGTCTGACAGGAGATTCACAGTCAACTGAATAAAATGTTGTCCAGTTTAATAAAGGAGGAATAATATCTGTCATGTTTCTATTACAGTTTATCCAGGTGGAGTCAAGCCCCCTAAATATGGTATGTGGCCTACTTCAGTTATTAAACTGTGCTGGTCTGGTTGCTCCATCTGACTGCCTGGTTGCTCCATCTGACGCCGCCTGACTTTTCAGACTAATTTCAAATTAAACAGGCATCTACTTAGACACCCATAGAAACCTTTGTACTTCCACTTGAGTTTATATTTACATTTGATATATATAAATAATTATTATTATAATTATTCCACATGTTCATGGTTCTCCTGAGGTCAGAACACCTGACATGGTAAAGAGAACCGCTCTAACCACGACTCAAACCTCACATTTTTACTAAATCTGTGACCTTGGCATTGCACCAGTAAGGTCACTTGGGGTCTTCTTTATGATGCGGTACACTGGCCCCTCTTTTGTAAAAGCATGTCAAAATAAAGGTTCTTTGTTTCTGTTGTGCCACCTGAGGTTTGTGGAAGTAAGAACTTGTGCACAAAGTTTTTTATGTGAGTTGAGCACTTTTAAAATTGCCTTATCTTGCAGCAAGTTTTAAAACATAAAATTCTGTTGAGTTATTTTATTTAGAATTTTATAACTAAATTACCTTTTTGGTAGTTTATGTAATCAACATATATGGTTGGATGACTGTACCACCTGAAATTGACTTTTTGAGGTGAAAAGGAACTAAAATGAATATTATGTGGATGCACTGAAAATTGTTTTACATAAAAGAGGTATTGTTGAATAATTGGATATATTTCATGCATTTTTCAAGATATTTTTATTATTGACTTATTGAATTATTGAAATATTGGCCACATAACAAGGATGTTGTGTCAGTGACCCAAATATACACTGATTTGCCAGTTCTTTAGGTACACCCACCTTGTACCTGTGCGCATTGTAGGTTACAGACTGTAGCTCATCTGTTACTGCACAGTTTATCAGGCAGAGCAGCACTGCTGGAGTTTTACACATGAAGAGCTGCAAGATGATTTGCGCAATTGCTACTGTATACACTTAAAAAGCGTCCTTTAGGGGTTCTTTAGTAAAGAAAATGGGTCTATATAGAACCATGAACACTCAAAGAACCCTTTACATGCTTAAATGGTTCTTTGCACTGTGAAAGGGTTCTTTTGTTATGACAAGCCTGACACTGTCACAATAGCAGAACCCTTCTTGTTGCCATATAGAACCATGTTCAAAAAGGTTCTATAAAGAACCATATACATTCTCCATCAATCTGAAGAACAATTTCATGATGCAAATTTAATCTTTATTCAAGCAAAGTGTTCTCTGGGTGTTCATGGTTTTCAATAGAACAGTTCTCCTAACTAAAGAACCTTTGAAGAACTATCATTTTTAAATGTGTACACTTAAAAAAGTTTCTTTAGTAAAGGCAACTCTATTCAGAACCATGGGTTATATATGGAACCATTTCATGCCTAAATGGTTCTTTGCATGGTGAAATGGTTTGATGGGTTGATGGAGAGAACAATTTTAGCATGAAATAATTCTGTACAGAACTCATGGTTCTAAATAGAACCATACCTTTTACTAAAGAACCCTTGATTTTTTTTAAGAGAGTAGGCAAATCTTTCCTATATAGATCCCTTTATATACGAAGGCTCTATAGAACCTTTTTTTAAAGGCTGTATAGAACCCTATATATATAACATCACTGAATGTGTTTGGAATTACTTTGGGATTACAAGGTCTATGTGGTGTTTCCAATAATGTGGCCAGTTAGTGTAGTTTACTAGAAGATCCAAAGTAGCAGATTAGTTATGATAGATGAATTTAAAAATATTACGACAAGATTTCCGGTCTGTTTACCTGACCTCAGGTGCAGGGACTGTTCCAGGAGCAGGAGGAGTGCCGTACCCTGGAACAGGGACAGGAGTTGTACCTGGTGCTGGAGGTGACTGATGATGCTTTCTATTGCAATTTAGAGAATTTAGTCATCTACACTGCCCAAAATGTTGACTTGTCAAATGATCCTAAATCAAGTGGATATATCTAATATTTCTCATTTTGAGATTGGTGTGAGTCTATTGTAAAATTCTTTAACTTATTTCTAGACATTTTTTTATGTGTTTCAAGCAATTTTATCAGCTAAAATAATCTCACTATACTGGCAGATAATTTTGCTTGTTGTAAGAAATGTGCCTGAAACTTGCAAAATGATCTGCCAATATAGTGAGATCATTTTATTTACTAAAATTGCTTAAAAGAAACATAAGAAATGTCTAGAATTAAAGCTAAATATTCTTATAATGAGAAATATTAGTTGTATTCACGAGATTTAAGATCATTTCACTTGACAAGTCAACATTTTTTGCGATCTATCTCTCAAGTCAACTGTTTACAAGCTCATTTTTTTACATTTATTGTATTACTGGAGTGTTTTTGGGAGGTCAGTGACTGAAATGCATTTAATATTTACAGGATATCCCGCTGGAGTCAAACCACCCAAATACGGTAATCCTGGCAAACAGCCACATGTCAGCATAAGCGCTGTATCATGTAGCTCTGCTAGCCTGAGCTCCTTCTTCTGCCACGTGTTCACAGTTAGGTTCTGTTTCAGGTCTACCAACCACCGGCCTTGGCGGAACAGGTGTTGCGGCACCTGTAGCGACACCTGGAGTGCCAGACGGAGCTGGAATTGCCATTCCAGGTGGCACCGGTGTGCCTTTTGTACCTGTGAAGCCAGGTGAGTGGAGTGCTGATGGAGAACCCTCGCTACTTTACTTGCACTGCAAAACATGATAGCAAGTGAAAACATCTAAAATGTACACACTTAAAAAGATGGTTCTTCAAGTGTTCTTTGGTAAAAAAATGGATCTATATAGAACTATGAACACTCAAAGAACCCTTGCATGATTAAAGGGTTCTTTGCTTCATGAAAGTGTTCTTCAGATTGGTGGAGAATGTCCTGTAGATGGTTCCATATAGAACCATCTAGAACACATTTATAATCACTTTCATACCATTTTCTATACTAAAGAACCCTTAAAGAACCATCTTTTTTAGGAGTGTAGTGCATATACCTGATATTTCTCATTAAGAGACTGTTGTAAGAACAATATGAGATTATATAAAGTACTTGTCGACATATTTACTTCTTTTGAGTCTTTTGATCGAGAGGAAGTGTTTTTCACTGGCAGATCATTTTACTTATTTTGAGAAATAATGCAGGTAAGTTTGCTTACAAAGCTTGAAAGATGCGAGTGATTTCCCAGCGGATTAAGACACTTTCATATGATAAAATGACTTCAACCTACTAAAAAATGTCAACAAATGAGTTAAATAAACTTATAATACATTCACAACAGTCTGATAATGAGAAATATTAGATATATTGACTACATTTAAGATGTTTTCACTCACTAAGAGATCATTTTTCACAATGTGTATCAAGCACAGCACTGTTGCCATTTCACCAACCATATTGTCCTTTTTACAGCAAAGGTTGGCTCTCTGGAACCTGGTGGAACTGTTCTTCCGGGTAAGATCCTCCACATTGCCTGGTCTGCCAGTCTTTGGTAGAAAAAGCTTTGATGGACTGTCAGTAACCAATCAAATGATTTCATTCCTATTTACAGCAATGAGCTATAGCTACTTTTACTTTCATAGCACAGGAAGAAAGTCTTATCCAGTATCTTGTCTTCTGCTATGATTTTTACTTTAATATCAACAGTATTCAAATTCAGTTTGGGTTATTAAAGGGGAATTCCAGCAATGTTTTAAAATTACAGAGTGATTCAGAGTGGTTTGGTGTGAAATGGTTCAGATGTCTTTACAGTGGTGGTGATAGGAACCAGGGGTCGCCATGACTACAACACAAATATAGACATTTTATTTACTATGAAAACCACCAGTGAACCTACACGAGTCTTCTGAGTTTATATGGAATGTTGATGATGGAAAATAGTGGAAAACCTGAAATAATAAGTTTTCTTTGGGGACTATTTTGCATCACAGAGCCCTGCATATTATGTATCCCTCCACCATGAATGGATATCTTTTCAAGCCAAAATCTTCTCAAAACTATCCTAAAACAGTGTCTCAGACATCAGGCAGTGAATTCATAACCATTTCATGTAGTAATTTTCTGTGCGGGAGCTTTTAGAGGTGAACAATTCTTGGTTTCACACCAAACTACTCTGAACCTCTCTGTTTACATCTCAACTGCTTAATTATGTAGAAAGTGGTTTCACAACAAAACACTCAAAGACTAAATTATATAGGATTTTGACAATCTCAGTTTCTTTTCATGTACATCAAAAAGCTACTTGGTTTGTACATCTCAGCTGTGGATGGACTTAAATAATCGATAATAGCCACCTTAGATGATGTCATCTAATGACGTGATTAAAAACAATAGTTTTCAATCAAAATGATAATGTCCTCTGCAAAACTAACTAAAACAAAACAGACCCAGAGAACTTGTAGAAAGGAGAATTTCCACTCTGTAATGTCTTCCGGGTTTCTCAAACACTAGAGGGCGCTCCTGAGCGAGTCCAAAATGAATGGGTTGATATGGAGCATTTCAGCAAAATCATAGTTTATAAATGCTGAAACATCTTTAATATAAAAGAATTCATTCATTTCCTGAACACAGAACAGCATAAAACATTTTAACACTGCTGTTATATTTTTAAGAGCTTTTAAACTCGAGTTGTAGGAGTTTAAAACGGTGCCTCATATACATTCATGACGTCTGTGAGCGCGAACAGCCAATGAGTTGCTCCGCTCACCAGCCAATCAGCATTTAGTAGCAGTAATGCTAACCAATTAGCTCTCAGTAGCAGTAATGTTAGCGTCCTGCTGCCCAAAACCCTGTTTGCTGTAGTAAAAAGGAAACATACAGGTGAGTTTTCTTTGCTTTTTTTGTGAAATACATCCTTCTACTTTCTAAAATTAAAGGAAAGTTCTGGGCGAGTGTTTAGAAACTTTTTTAACCTTTCATTTTTAGCCGTTTAGCTCCATTTATCCCCATTCATTGAGGACTTGCTCATGGGCGCCCTCTGCTGTTTTGCAGTCTTGTTTTTGATATAACGGGGGAAATAGGAAGTGGCTCGTAAACCGGCTCTGCTAGAATTACTGTTTGTTCAGTGCCTGAACGAGAGTTTAGAAGAGTAACTCTTCTGTTTTTGTCTTTAAGGAAAGCTGGAGTCAAGCTGAGCTCAGTCTACTATTAATTTTATTATACTCTTTTAAAAACTTAAACTAAAAATAAAAATAAAAATAAATTAAAAAACTGAACTAAAACTACTGCCACACCTTTAAAACTAACTGAAACTAAACTGAAATCAAAAATGAAAGTAAAAACTATATAAAAAGTATAATTACCCAGGAAACAACCTCTACTTTTCTGGCAAAGCTTTACAGTAGATGATGAACATTGCTATGTGGATTTGATTCAGCATTAGTGAGGTCAGGTACTGATGTTGGATGGTCAGTTCTGGACCACTCCAACTCATCCCAAAGCTATTGGATGGAGCTCCATCACTCCAGAGAACACAGTTTCACTGCTCCACAGCCCAATGCTGGGGGGCTTTATACCCCTTGGCATTGAACATGGCGACCTTAGGCTCCTGTGCAGCTGCTCTAGAGCACCCCCTTCTGTTAGTCAGTGTGAATTCACTCATTAGATGAGCAGCCTGGTTACTTTTGATGTACATTGCAGCATCCTGTTCTTGTTTAGACACAAGACCCCTAAATGCCAGCTTACTAAACATTCTGCTATTTCTGCCTAGCGAAATCAAAGCTAATTTAACTCTTTGTAGCCGATTCACCCCGAAGCGCCACCCTCTCATGGCAGTGCCAGTGGCTGCTGCCAGTGCTGGTCACATCAGTGACCACAAAGCTAGTCACCTCTGTGCTTCATTCCTTTCAAACTGCAAGACTTGAAGGTGCAACCTGTTGTTTCTTGGCAGGACCGACGACTATTGTCACAAATGGCACGGCCCCTGAGCCCAGTAAGATCTACCGTGTTGCATGAACCTCTGTCAAGTTTCTTTGTAGAAGAACTACATCGTATCCACGTCTGTGTTTCTCTTTTCCGTCTTCCACTAACCCTGCCGCTAACCGTGCCTGAACTGCACACAGCGTTCTTTTAGCTGATACTTTGGCCAAATCGTTGGTGACAGGACGTCACCAACTGCACCAAAACGCTGCTTGTGGGGAGTAATTTTGTGAGTGCTAGTGGAATGTCTTATGCTTTATAGATAAAAGCAGCAAAAAGGAAATAACAAAACATTTGCCAGTGGTTTGAAGGAATGGTTTGGTAAAAATCAAATTGCCCACTTAGCCCAGATGTAATCAATCAAATAAGACATGTCTGAGGTCCAAATTAAGCTAGGAGGAGTTGCTAACACTAGATGTCAGTAGTCACCAGAGCATGAGGACAGAGCGACGTGATTTTTGCTCTTTGCAGCGTCAGTGTTCTCTCTCTCGCTAAAGTATCACTCTATTTCTCAGGCCAGACAGTCTTTTTTCTACACTGACTCCCTCTGTGTGACACGAGTGATGCGGCAGTGACTCTACTGGTCACACATGACGGCCGTTCATACACACCGATCACAGCACAGTTCTACAGACATCACACAGAGTCAGACGGCAGTCGTCCGTTTTGCTGTGAGAATGATGAAGATGGTTTTAAAAGCACACGTTTGTTTACCCTCGGCAGATTTCCAGCCTTTTAAAAAGCCTAAATCTTCCAAAAAAGCCTGTGTAGCACAGAATGATTGACTATTTTTTTGTGTACAGCCATAAATTATACAAATCCTAAAACAAATATCTTAATGGATCATATGGAGCATCCACGGAGTGGTTTCTCTGACTTGTGAGCGAAAAATAGGAAACCTGGAGTGGAGCAGAGCTGGAGCAGAGCTGCGCCACTCCACTGACATTCTCTGATAGTCACCCAAACCTTTTCTGTACATACATTCCCAAAGCCTCTCTCGACCCGCTCAAACCGCATCCAGGAGACTTGTGGATGTGCTTTAGGTCACAGTATGACTGCCATAAATGAGCTTTAAATTTGGACACCAACCATGTCTTGGCGTTTGGGTTAAGTGGTTCCTTTTTTTCCAAAGTCATTCTTTTAAGAACTTAATGAAAGGCACAAAATTATGTCTCAACTCGACCAGTTTTTAAATGTTTTTTATTTCTACATTTCCGCTTGTTTTGACTGTCTTTTAATTATTTAAATGTTCTGCTTATTCTCTGCAGGTGGAATAGGAAAAGCTCCAGGTATGAACAAAACAACCGTGCATTCTTCACAGATTACTAATGTTTTTGGGAACCGCTTGGAATTATCTGCATCTGGATCTAAGTCAAAATAATAAATAAAGACTGTTTATAATTTAACGCAAAACAATCGCTAATCGATTGAGTGTTTTTGATGGAAAATGAGAACCTCCGTGAACTTCTGTTAGGAGCGTAATTGGAATCAGTTGTTCCAGTTCATTCAACTTACATACAACAAACATCTCCTCAAGTGCAGTTCGGCCTGGTAGGCTGAGTTTAGACACGAACTGCTCTTGATGATGTTTGTGTTCACAAGGTCATGGGAGGTTATGAAGGAAACTACCAGTGGTCCTCAAAAAAGCTTCCTGCTGTCCACACTGCAAAAAAAAAGGGTTGAAATGATTTTAAATCTAGTTGATACATCTAATAATTCTCATTTTAAGATTGTTGTGAGCTTATTATAAGATTATTTAACTTATTTCTAGACATTTTACTTGTTTTAGGTTTTCTTTTACTATATTGGCAGACCATTTTACTTAAACTAGTAAAACGTGTGTAGAAATAAGTTAAATAATCTTCTAATAAGCTTACAACAGTCTCAAAATGAGACACATTAGATATATCAGCTAGATTTTAGGTAATTTTACTTGCCAAGATGCCTTTTTTGCAATGCACAGTTTGCTAACAACCACCTGGAACTCCTGGAGCAGTGCTTTAATGACAGACCAGACAAACATTGGCCTTTTTGTTAAATGTACACAGCATTATGTTTGAGTATGTTCTTTTCTTTATACCCCTGTAGCCAAAAGTGAGCAGTTCAGGTCCAGAAAGTAAAAATCCACCCCAGAATTTTGTTCTGTCTGCCTTATTTATTTCTAACCAGCAATGGAGGTGCCCAGGCTTTTACAACAAAATCCTGGGGAGGATTTTTACTTTTGGACCTGAACTCTAGTCTTGCCTCTGCATCAAGTCTATGCGGTCATGGTGATCTTAGGCACATTTGCTTCTTTGTGTCATATAAGATACATAGATACTTGCTTGTACGTGTTTATAAAAGCAATAAGACACATGAGGCCCAGCATTGCAGCGATTTTATCAGGCTAAAAGTGTTTTTTTCTGCTTTGCATCGAGTCTAATAGCCCTTAGCAGTGATAAAATCACTGTAACACGCAGCCTAAAGTGGCTTATAGCTTAAAAAAATGGCAGATAACACAAAATTGTGATCAAATTTGCAATTTGTCAGTAAATTATTAAACTTATTATTAATAATAATCAAAATGAACAGTTACTGCACCAAGCTAAAAATGGTGTTTTTGAAGTGGAACACACTTGCTTGTTTGTGTCATATATGATAAAGGAAAGTATGTATGTTTCAAATGTAGTTTAAAAGGTGATTTTCATTACTACACTACTAAAAAAAACTAAATTAAAAGTTAATAATATTTTAAGGACCATGAAAAAATCCAGATAATTCCAAAGGGTTCACATACTTTTTCTCACAGCTATACATTTCATATAGTTCTTTTGTTAGATATTACCCATATTGACAATACTCTTAAAAAAGATGGTTCTTAAAGGGTTCTTTAGTAAAGAATATGGTTCTATATGAAACCATCACACTTAAAGAACCCTTTGCATGATTAAAGCGTTTGTTGGATCATAAAAGGGTTCTTCAGATTAATGGAGAATGTGCTGTAGATGGTTCTAAATAGAACAATAACAATGGCAGAACCCTTTTTGGTGCTATATAGAACCATATACAGCATATTCTCCTTCAATATAAAGAACTATTTTACTAGGCAAAGAACCATTTAAGAATGAAATGGTTCTATAAAGAACCCATGGTCCTGAATACTACTGTCTTTACTAAAGAACACTTAAAGAACCCGTTTTGAGCATATACACTTAAAAATTATGGTTCTTCAAGGGTTCTTTAATAAAGAAAATGATTCCATATGGAATCATGAACACTCCAAGAACCATTTACATGATTAAAAGGTTCTTTATGCCATGAAAGATTTCTTCAGATTGATTGAAAATTTGTTGTATATTCTATATAGACTCTTTTTGAACATGGTTCTATATGGCATTAAAATGGTTCTTCTATTAATACAAGCTTGACATCATAACAATAGAAGAACCTTTTTGGGTGCTAAACAGAACCCTTTTCAGAAAGGTTCTATATAGAACCATGTACAGCACATTCTCCACCAGTCTGAAGAATTCTTTTATGATGCCAAGAACCCTTTAATCATGCAGAGGGTTCTTTGAGTGCACATGGTTACATATAGAACCATTTTCTTTACTAAAGAACCCTTGAAGAACCATCATTTTTAAGAGTGTGCCTATTACATGTTCATAATACCTTTTAAATACTAGCATTTTCAGCTTTTTGGGCTTTAATATTGTTCAGAAATTGGCTGAAGACAATAACAAATCATTGTGATCTCAATTACTTTCGGTTCAAACCTTGTCAATTACATGTAATAGTCACCGAGATTAACAACCTATTTTTTGCCATTCCCCACAGGAGTGCAGCCTGGCGGTATGCTTATGTCTTCATTAAAATCAGTTTTATTAATCAGTATTATTGTGATTATTTATACATGCATCAATATGGTTGTGAGACTGTGCTCATTCTCATTATCTTCACAGTTGGCGCTGGAGTCATTCAGCCAAGTGGTAAGTTGAACTGTCCAAAATAACATACTTGCTTGTATAAAAGCAGTAAGACACATGAGGCCCAGCATTATAGTGATTTTATTAGGCTAAAAGTGTTTTATTCTGCTTTGCATCGAGCCTAATAGCCCTTAGCAGTGATAAAATCACTGTAACGCACAGCCTGAAGTGGCTTATAGCTTTCATAAAATGGCAGATAACATAAAATATGATAAAATACGCATTTTGTCAGTAAATTATTACACTTATTATCAATAATAATCAAAATAAACAGTTACTGCACCAAGAAATGTAATTTTTTAGAGTATGCTGTTACTGCCAAGCAACCATGGACTGCTGAGAGAGGTTGAGAACATTCAGTCACCCTTGATTGCATATTAGTCATTAACTTATACTCATATAAAAATGAATATATCCTAAAATAGCAGTATTCAGTGCAAAAAACTTGAATTTTACCAAACTACCACCGTGACGACTCCCTACGTAGTGCACTACACAGGAATTAGTACTGCCTCCAGCACCCAACAGTGGATAATGGAGCTAACAAATAGCCTTTTAGGATTCAGCCACATCCAAACTGTGATTTGGTGCAGAAGTGTTTGTACACTGTGTAGGAAGAAGGGGTTCAATGCTACTTAAGGCAGATCTGAATAAAACATGGACATTTGAATTGTGTTAGACATTCAAGTGACACATTCTTTAGTCTTTTACACTGCAGTTTTACAGTGAATCATGTAAATACTTTAAACTTCAGTAAAGTACATTTTACATAGTAAATGAATTAATATCAATATACTATTAATATACTTGTAAATGTGCTATTTCAGTACTTCTTGAAATAAATTGGCCCACTTTTCAGTTTATAAAATGAGTCTTTTAAGTTTACTTTAGGTGCTGTGTGTAGGTGGACAACCAGTTTACATGTAAGTTTTATTTTGTACTGCAACTACAACGTGACCTACACTGTAAGTGAACTTATAGGGACTAGTTATAAACTTCTAACCCATGTTTTAGTTTATGAAAGTATACTTTATATTTTATAATTAAAAGTACCGGCCCAAGTATATACAAGTATATGTATAAGTACCAGTATAGGCCAAATATACTTAAACTTTTCTGTATATTTGTCAGTATAAGCCGGGGGTCGCAGCTGAAATATTGAGAAGAACCATTTTGTCCTTTCAGCAAAAATCAAACCTCCTTAGGAGCCACAACATTTTTACTAGCTTTACCATCTTGGCTGTAAATATGTCTCAGTATGTGCTGATGTACTAGTATAGACTAAAAAATATCATATAAACGAAAACACAGACTTACTTTGCTCAGCTTTAAGCTTTAGCTCAGCTATAGCTGCTTTTCTTGCATCTCTGACAGGAAACTTTTCCGCGAAAGTAGAACAGTTCCTTGTAAAAAAATCTCTCAACATTCGACTTTTTACAAGGCTGAAGTCAGTTTCTCATTCGCCAACTTCTTGTTTGAATTGTCCTGTTCCACCTTAAATGGTGCCTGGGACCCCAGAATGTAACTGCTGCACCATTTAAGGTGGAACAGGACAATTCAAACAAGAAGTTGGCGAATGAGAAACGGATTTCAGCTTCACGACTTTTTAGTGTTTGTCAGTTTCTCGTTGCAGATTATAAACACAAATGGGTCCATTCGTCCCTAAATTACCGATGTTCATCTTAAATCTCTCTCTTTGCTGTTTCGTTAGCTACTAGCTAGATGAGACTGTTGTCTGTGTTGCTATGGTGACCAGCAGTCTGCGCTGATCTTCAGGGTTAAAGGGTGAATTAGCAGTTCTACATTAACTCCAGTGTTTAAGACCATTTATTGTTAAACTGTGTTGAACGATCAGCAGAGCTTTATTTTACTGTAAAGGAGGAATATTTTATTCTTACCTATAAATCTGTATTTGCAGCATTACAGTCAAAGATTACTCCACTAAGAGCACCAGGGCTTTTAGTGACCTGGCTCAGTAACACAGGGCTCTGAACGCAGCTCAGCTAATCAGGTTTTAGCATCTGTTATATACACTTATCAGGCATAACATTATGACCACCTCCTTGTTTCTACGCTTATTGTCCATTTTATCAGCTCCACTTACTATATAGGTGTATTTTGTAGTTCTACAATTACAGACTGTAGGTGATCGGTGTATGTGTAAGTTTACATCAAAAATGATCTTATTAATAATGCAATTTTGCGTTTGTGTTTTATGTGTTTCAGCTGGAGCTGGTATTGGTAAGAACACTGATTTTCTCACAATGACAAATGTATTTAAAACAGAGCATGACAGGGATACAGCAGTCTGGAGAGACCATGAGCTGTTGCTGTAATGTACTGGATTGTTATCCTGAGATAATGAATTAATTATCTTGTGATCTCAAGATGACAACTTTGTTATCTTGAGATCACAAAATAATGAACTCAGTATATATATATATATATATATATATATATATATGAAATATTTGTTGCTTTTTTTCATATCATCACTGTCCAAACAAGTATCTCCAAACTGGTAATTTTCTCAGTACTGACCCTGATTTCTCATCACCTTTAATTACAGTCCAGCCTGGCGTTGGTGAGTTCTCTACTTTTTTTCTGGACGTCTCGCCACTTCAGTCCTGCTTGTCAGACACAGACCTGCTGAACGTTCCTTATTTTCTTCACTCACCTTCTTTGTTCTCTGTATTGATGCTGCTATCATTTGGCAACTGCATGTACATGTAATAAGTGTCTTTTTCCTTCCCTTCCTCCACATGAAGGTGTGGTGCAGCCTGGTAAGAACCTTTCTGTTCACTAGAGGTCACTGTGTTCCAGTTGTAACAAGTTGTTGCTGTTTTGAAACTTTGCAGTACTCTCAGCTGCCACCAGATGGCAGAATAAGCAATAAATAAATGAAAAAAAAGAAAACAGTCATTTCTGATTCACTCTGGAGTCACTGAGCTGATTCTTTCCTGTCTTTCTTCAGGTGCCGTTGCTAAACCTCCTAAAACTGGCGGAGTGGGTAAGAGTTTCATAACACATCTATTGCAGCAATAAACTGAAGTAACGATTTGTTTGGAGAGGAGTTTCCTGGACTCAAATCTAGATTCCTCTAGAGTTTTTAAAGGTTTAATCTGAATATGCCATAACAATAAAGCCTTTTTAATCATTTTACAAAGAAGAGCGCCTTGGAGTTTGTGTGTTTTTTAATGAACTGAAGACGTTTATTTAAGCTGAATATTGATAAAAGTGGACACTTTCAGAAACATCATAATGACTTAATCTAATGATGCCTTTATAAAAAGCTTAAAATCTCAATTCCACAGGTCAAAAGCAAAAGATATAAAACACAGGCAGGACGACTTTTCTTAGCACCTCTGGTGACCGAATGCTAAAGTTCTTCATGTGAAAGTGTCCAAAGGACTCTTCATTTCTTTGCTCCAAAAAACTAGACAGATACTTTAATATAGACATTTTAATGATTCATTTTACTGCTAATATGGATGACAACAATGTTTATGACTGATATCTGAGTGCATTTAGAGTACATTTTCAAACCGAAACTGTCCAGTTTGTCTTTTGAGAAGCCCAGCAGAAAATTAGTTTAATTCAAATCAAACAGGAACCTCTGTGAGTCCTTTCAATGGGGTGGAGAACCTCTTTTTGACCATTATTTGCTACTGATAGTTATATTGTTTTGATTGATATATACATTAATAATGAAAACAGCAGAAGTCCCCTTAAAACGACTGTGAAAAATACCTTACAATAAATCATTTTCACAATTTTATGCCGTATTTTAATATGCAACTTCAATATATGCACCATTCACAAATCTTAACATGATTTGCTGTCATTAATTTGTATGATCTGGGTTCAGAAACGACATCACAAACATGGAACTCTTCTTCATTTTAACACTATTACTCTTTAAACACATGAAAATATGCAGGGTCAAGCTTAAGTGTACCAGTTTTCACCCTGCTGACTCTCTCTGCTCATCTCCTCAGGCCCTGCCGGTGTGCTCCCCTACGCTGGCTATGGTAAGGATTAGTTTTAAGCCATGTGTTGGGTTAACACATTGTTGCTTGAACAGTAATGGAAGCCTGTCCTTCTCTCACTTCAGGACCCGGTACTGGACTTCTGCCAGGAGCCAAGCCACTTAAAGCGCCAGGTAGAACGTTGCTCACCTGTTTTTCTTTACTAAATACATGATCACAGACTGAAATATAGGAGGCGTGGATTGTGCTGTGACTTGCAGGAGGCTTACGTGACTGTTTACAACAATACATCGAGGTTTTTACAAAGGTTAAATATGATGTCTTTTCAACCTCCTGGACAAAAACCCAATATCTGGCTCATGAGAGGGGATTGAAAAAGATTTGGGAAATCCTAAAAACAAAGAATGATTGTAAGAGCTTGAAAATGCTCCCAAATAAACAACCATTCTCACTGACATGCAAATGTCGATTGTTTTATTGTAGGTGTTGGAGGACCAGGTACCATTGCTGGAGTAGGACCAGGTAATCCACCTGTAAACTGTTAATATTTACATTTCTAACTATCTCACACAGGGCTGTTGCTGTCAACTGTGGCCAAACATTGGCAATTTTATAGATAAATATATCGCTGTTGTCAGAACAAAACCTTGTATGTCCAAAATCACAACTTTACAGGAGAAGGAAAAAACATACTTCATTTTTAATGTAAGTCAATGGAACCAGACTTTTTTACAAGTCACTTGGGCCGTTTCTTTTGGTCCATTCTTCATGAAATTTACTTACAATGTAAAGAGCAACAGGTATTTTCAAATTATGTCAGAAACTGAAAAACAACAAAAATAGAGGTTGAGGTTTTCATCCAACAACAGCGATATACACACACGTCATGCTAAACTCCTCTGTTTAAGGGATCCACAAACTCACCTATACGTCAAATTCAATGGTTTCCTGAACATTTACTGAATCTGTAGAGTCGCCCTTTTCATTCCATTTTATCATGAGATCATACGAGACTCACATCCAGAGTTATGAGCCTATGAAGAGGGGCTGAGATACACGTCATCTGCCTCTCACCGTGTGGAACTGGTGGATTTGTGTGTCAGTCTACATTCTGTGTGAAACTGACCAATGGACACTCAGGAAATCACTAAGGACTGCCCATCACACCGGAAACCCTTCATTCTTCATTCAGTCCACATCAGAGACATGTGTGAAATGGCGTGCAGAGAGTTTACAGCTGCTGAAGTTGCTGCAGCAGTTTTGGAAAGTAGTGATGAAGATAACGGAGCATTTTGATTTGAAACATGTAAGGATCATGTTACATGAAGAGACTTTAAAGGAGAGTTTAAGAAGATATAAACAAATCGAGAGAGAATGACCTCAGAGAACCCGGAGGAATAAGTTTGCACACAAGCATTTGGTAAAGCAACATCTTTTGGAAGAATGTATTCTGATCAGACAAACCAAAGTACACAGTGAAGTATGAGGGTGGGAGCATCACGAAATGGAGCTGCATCATAGGAGACATGAATGGAGCGATGTAGTCGGCCAGAGTTTGATCTCAGGTCAAGGTGATGGTGTTTGCCTGGCCTAATCTGAGTTGAATCCCAAAAAAAATTTAGGACGTGTCTTGAAATTGTCCACAGAGTCCATCAGAGGGATGTTCATAACCTATATAATTAATATACATATATAATCAAGAAATATATAGGACTTTTCAGACATAGGAAATTGTAAAAGCATCTGAAATAAGAATAAAAAAATGATACAATAATAAGTCATAATAAATACAATTAAACAAATAATGTATGGCTCAATAAAATGGCACAATACTACTGTTTTTCACTATAATTTCCAATCGCAGGTTGGGAGAATCTTTAGACTCACTCAGAAACTATACTCTGGACTATATGAACCATATTCTGTCAATAAAACTCAGATTTAGTAACAAAGTAAGAAATGCAGTGATCCTATTATGAGTGCTTAAGGAAGATTAGTACTAATTCTGTTCTGAGTTCTGCTTGTTTCTGGTTTTGGCTTAGTGGTGGCTAAAGTTTATGCCCTGAAGAACATCGAAAAACTGAGAATGATTATTGATTTTGTGCTTAAAGAGCATATAAAATGGAAACAGTAGCAAAATCAGCCTGTTTAATTCTGAGTGATAAAGGGATGAAAATGGCCATATAGAAATTAATTATGACTGTGTTTTGGTACAAATGTTAAAATAGGACTTTGGGGAAAGAGAAATGTAGTATATGGACTCTTTAAACAGGGATAGTGTTTTAATTTATGTGAGCTGTGGGGTAAAATGATACCCCTTGTCCCACCACATAACAAAGATAACGCAGCCATGCGTCCCATAGACGTCTTGGTGATTTCAGAAGAACTTCGTAGGAGTTCAACCGTCGCAAAGTGATGTGACTGTTATCCAGGAAATGCCATCCAGTCTAGTTTCCTGACTGAGTTGAAGCACATCTGTGAAAATTCACTGACCGATTTGTTATTTCCTCGCAAATTCTGGGCGTATCTGAGATCTGCCCCAGGTCTATATTACTGTTTGTCCAAAAGTCTTTAGACAGCAGAGTTTCTTCTGAAATGAAGGTGTTAATAGGGAGTTTGTCCCCCTTTGCTGCAGTAACTGCCTCTACTCTTCTGGGAAGGCTTTACACTAGATGTTGAACATGGCTGTGAGGATTTGATTGAGCATTAGTGAGGTCAGGTACTGATGTTGGATGGTCAGTTCTGGATCACTCCAACTCATCCCAAAGGTACTGGATGGAGCTCCATCACTCCAGAGAACACAGTTCCACTGCTCCACAGCACAATGCTGGGGGGCTTTATACCCCTCTAGTTTACGCTTGGCATTGGGCAGCATCCCATTCTATTGGTCAGTTCTTTTCTATGAAGATTGAACACCTGTATCAGCAATGGGTTACATTGAATAAGCTGGATTCACTCATAAGTGCTCTGTCTGGAGACTTTTGGACATACTGAGGATGTATTTCTAGTGTCTGTGATGTCGTCTGAATATTTGATGGCTCTGTTTCAGGTGTGAGGTATCCTACAGGTGTTGGACTTGGAGCTGGTGGTAAAGCACCCAAACCAGGTACAGCCAGTTAACATCTCCAGACTATATTTAATCATTATTAGAGTCAGAAATCAAATGTCAACACATAACATACGATGATGAAACATTTCAGCAGTAACAGGGATTCAGTCACAGTCGTAAAACCTCACCGGACAGATCCAGTCAAATCCTGTTGGAGGCCGTTAACCGAAGTTGAGAAAGAGGAAATGCCGGGATATTAACTCCCAGTGGAAGGGCTTTACTGTTATAAGGCTAATTTCTAACGGCTTTTGCTAAATTAAGCAGCCGTTTTGTACACAGTGAGGTCCCTGAGGGACGCAGGGTGGAGATAAAAGATCTCTGATTAGGAAAGGAACCTTCTGAGTGACCATCTCCACACATACTGTTTCTTAAGTCTGTTCTGACATGGTTCTCTGTTCTCTCTTGAATGCTCAACAGGCTATGGCTCTCTGGGCACCGGATTTCAACCAGGTGAGAACAGCTTCTTGACCTTTTTATCACAAAAACTAAACATTAGTGCATATAAATGTTCATGTATTGTGGACACATTTCTCTCTATTTCTAAAACTATATAGACACAATCCAACCCCATTTAACAGTGCGCACTCACAGTGTTGTCAAACAGTGTTTCCCCAACCCTTGTGTGGTGTTGATGTGTTTGTTACCTCAGTGGTGACCGTATTATTGTTATTTAAATCAATACAGCCATAACAATTTATGTCAAAATACCAGATGTTTAAAATATCACAAGTGTCCAGCGTAGGGTTCTCCTTCAGCAGCTGTAGCCAGTCAGGAGCCTGTCCATGTTGTCCACCCTCACACAAACACACACACGTACACACACACATACACAAACACATACACACACACACACACACTAACAGCAGGCCATGTAGGAGGAGAACAGAGTGAAGGACACAGCAACTCCACACTTTTACTCGCAGGTTCAGCCCAACACCACATGTGTAATATAAATGTGTGGGGGGGTGAACAGTGTGAAGGCACCGAAAATGGGTTATTTTATATGTTCTTCACAGAAAATAAGCAAAGGCCAAGAAATCTAAGGTTGAAATGATAATAAATCACAGCATTTTTTCTTTTGGTAAACATTGAAAATGGGTCCCACAGACACAAGGGTTAAACAGGTTGGGTGTTTCGTCTGGCTTAATCAACCAGCTTGAACGAGATACAGACATTAGGATGTAACTGCCATGCTAACATTTGCTTTCTAACGTACAGCATTTTTAAGCGTGAAGATGCACTAAAAGTTGACCTTAAAGCAGCAAAACTGAAAAATGACGTAATAAAAGACGTGAAGCTTTGTGCTTCATCTTTGTCATTTTATCGACAAAGAAACCAGTAAGAGCTCCCCCTGCTGGATGATTGCAGTCTTAAGCAATCAATATATGCAGATATATCTGGGCTTTCTTATAGATTTGACCATCCAAACAGTATTTCATGTTAGTTTGAGAAACAATGAACTCTATTCCTATATAAATCTATAGAAATATTTGCAAATTATTGATTGGCCCATGAACTCTTAATTAATCACAATTCTTCAAATAAATGTGTGGAGAACATAGATATGTACTATATATATATTTGTATTTATTTTTTATTATAATATATACATACATTTATCGTAATATATATAAATTAATTTTTCAAATAAATGTGAGGAGACGTAAGACTTGCTGTAGGTACATGTAGTGTGTTTATGCTATGTTTACATTTAAAAAAAGGAAAATTCGACTAATAATATAACAAATAATTGCCTAATAAATGGGTGATGATATTCCAGGCCTGTGCATTTGACACCAAATACACACAGCAACACTGCTAACTTTGAAGGATCCACCACCCGTTATAGAAGAACCACATTTGGTTCCTTAAAGCAGCACTATGTAACATTAGGGGATTTGGAGACCTCTCTGGTGGAAAGACATGATTGCATGCAACATGCAGAAGGAACACTTTGTAATGTCAGCTATGCTTTAGACCACCACGAGTGGAATAATCGGACTTTTGTGAGTGCCTGAAAGAGAATTCAAAGAGAATTCAGTCTAAACTCGGCGAAGGACGCGTCTTCTGAGGATGTGAGTGAATTATCCACTATTATCATCATATCTTCATCAGTATGATGTTGATTTTGAGATCATGTGAGACCTAAACATTGAGCCAGACTTTCTTTTCGAGGCTTTGTGTGTGACGTTAATATGTAAAGACGTGACGCGGTGTGAAAAACTCCCGACTTGACACCTCTGACTTTTAAATTATTATTTCAGGCTTTACAGGGCGACTCGCAGAGTCTCCTGACTCAGTAACGCTACATAAAAACTCACATAGTGCTGCTTTAGAGTCTTTCCATCCAGTGGTTTCAGTTCCCTAAAGCAGTTGCTCTCAAACTGGTCCTCAAGAGCCCCCAGAAGGTCCACATTTTTGGACTGTCTGGCAGGTCCTGATGACCAATACCCTGATTATTATTTTATTTATAAAGAAAAAGCCCAATCCCACCAGCCCACCGTGCTTTACTGTGGTTATTTTCCCCACAGTTACTTGAGTAAGAGGTCTACTCTTATCGTGCAGTAGAAGCCGTGCTGTACTGTAATAAGGATTACAGTGTAAACATTGCTGGTTATGGTTACTAGAATTGCACTGCTGACACACAGACCAACTTTCCTCCATTCCCAAACCCCCCATTTCCGTCAGCTCTTATCACACCCACACATACGATCATACAGCAGTGATCTTCATGAGTCTTCACCCTCTTTCTTGACACAGCCCTTTAAAATGCGCAAACGCAGTTGAAGATAAAAAGTCAGGCTCATCAGGATCCATCCTGCCTGATGCTCAGCGACTCTGCTGTTAAAACCTGCTGCAGCGATCAACAACAGAGCAGGCTAATTCCAAAAAAACAGCCCTCCAAGCAGAGCGTCACTCGATGCTCTTGGAAAAACAATTGTGCGTGACGAGAACTGGTTGAGCTTTGTAATGAATCAGAAACGGGTTCATCTGAGTGCAGCATTCATTCTTTAAGCGTATATCAAGTCCATGCATGCTGCACGGCAGACTGAGCCAAGAGTGCACTCACACCGTGAGAAAGCATACTGGTCCACTGTTTTTAGTCTCTAAATCTCTCCTGATAACAGGTGCTGTCGCTCCAGGAGGTTATGGAGGATACCCACAGGTTTATCCAGGTAAAAGCAATAATGCTGTTATTTATTTATTTATTTTTTTCATATTTTGTTTGGACTTTTTTTAGGGCTGCAACGATACACAGACTTTACGATACAGTATATACTGTGATAGATTTTTGACTAGAAAAGAAATGCAGTTGTTCATTTTACTATTTTTCTTATCAAATTCTAGTAGATATTGTTATATTTTTATCAAACACTAATACTAAAACAATACTATCGCCTGATAAGAAGCTTGGCTCTGATTGGTCATAAGACCAGCCATGATTGGTTGGTAGGCTGGCCCTAATGGGTCAGATCAACTCTGATCATTCAGAAGATCCACCCTTATTGGTCAGAAGATCTGCCCTGATTGGTCAGAAAGCTGTCTTTGATTGTTCAGATCTGCCCTGATTGGTCAGAAAGCTGTCCCTGATTGGTCAGAAGATCTGCCCTAGTTGCTCAGAAAGCTGTCCCTGATTGGTCAGAAGATCTGCCCTAGTTGCTCAGAAGGCTGTCCCTGATTGGTCAGAATATCAGCCAGAATATGGGCCCTGATTGGTCAAAAGGCAGTCCCTGATTGGTCAATCAGCCCTGATTGGTCAGAAAGCATTTCCTGATTGTTTAGAATATCAGCTCTGATTGGTCAGATCAGCCCTGATTGGTCAGAAAGCAGTTCCTGATTGTTTAGAATATCAGCTCTGATTGTTCAGATCTGCCCTGATTGGTCAGAAGGCTTTCCCTGATTGGTCAGAATCCTGTCCCTGATTGGTCCGAATTTCAGCCCTGATTAGTCAGATCAGCCTTGATTGGTCAGAAGGCTGTCCCTGATTGATCAGATCAGCCATGATTGGTCAGAAAGCTGTCCCTGATTTGTCAGAATATCTGCCAGAATGTTGGCCCTGATTGGTCAGAAGGCTTCGCCTGATTGGTCAGATCAGCCCTGATTGGTCAGAATCCTGTCCCTGATTGATCAGAATCCTGTTCCTGATTGTTTAGAATATCAGCTCTGATTTGTCAGACGGCTGTCCCTGATTGGTCAGATCAGCCCTGATTGGTCAGAGGGCTGGCCCTGATTAGTCCGATCAGCCCTGATTAATCCAAGACCTGTTTATGAACTGTAATCCCAAACCTTTCTAGCCCTAGAGCAAGTAAAGCATGCAGCATGGTTGCCATGGTGATGTAGTCTGGTAATCCACCATCGTGAGCCAGAAAAGATAAATTTGTAGATTACTTTAGAAGGCAAATGTAAAAACATGTAAAGTGTAAATGAATGGAAATCATTGCAGTTTGTCTCAGAAACTCAGACGTTACACATTTCTAAGCACATTAAATGTCACTGCATTCAATTCACACCACAGCACATGCTAAAAAAATGAATATTAATATGTACATCCTAACACCCCTGATTATTTCTCATATGAGAATCTAAAACTGTTACTAAATGAGTTTCAGTCTCGTTCACGGACCAGGTTAGAGGCTCCCGTATGTAGAACTGGAGGTCAGCTGCAGAATGTCCAGTGTGGTTCCATAGGTTTCAGGATTTAATTTGCTTTTGTATCTCATGACCCAAAAGAATGCGAGCATGCACCATAGATCAATGACAACACAGCACAGCCAAAAGAGAACAGGGCCATTTTTCACAGAGACAGATAAGAGGGAGGCTCTGTAGCCGGAGCGAGTTCCTCCAGTGGAGACTCAGGCCTAATAATAAGCAGAGCAGACCTCACTGCGTCTGTGAACAGTTTTCAGGTTAAAAATAGCAGCTATTTCTACTGTTTAATATGATTTCTCAATTCTGTTAATCTAACAAAGCTGAAAATTTGTAGATTTTAATTTTGTGACACTTTTTGAGCACAAAAAAGAAAAGTAATATACTTCACACTTTAGTGGCCTTTTAGTGTTGCTCTGATGAGGCAAATAAATTATAATGAGTGCTTAGCGTTCTCAGTACTGTACAGAAACTATTGAACAATAAAAACAGTGAGGGACTTTTTTAATCTCACAACCCTGTTAGAAACCATATGTTAAAGGGAAATTCCACCGAGTTTCCAAAATTTTTGTATAACTCAGCGTTTGAAATCTAAACCGAGTTATTCAGAGTGGTTTGGTGTGAAATGGCTCAGGGGTCGCCATGACTACAACACAAATATAGACATTTTATTTACTATCCAAAACCTACACGAGTCTTCTGAGTTTATATGGAATATTGATGATGGAAAATAGTGGATAATCTGAAATAGTAAGTTTTCTTTGGGGACTATTTTGTGTTTTAGACCAAAATCTTCTCAAAACTATCATAAAACAGTGACTCAGACATCAGGCAGCATATTTAATTCCATTTCATGTAATAACTTTCTGTGAGGGAGCTTTTAGAGGTGGACGTCTGGTTCCTATCACCACCACTGTGAACAATTCTGACTCTAGAATTGAGCGCTTCACACCAAACCGCTCTGAATGGCTGTTTACGTTGGCGGAACTCCCCTTGGCTTTTTGATGTCAGGTGACATAAAGTCCTACTGCAGTCTTAAATTCTTGATAAGTGTTTAAACTACATGCATTTGTTCTGGATTAGGACTGGAACAAAGGCCGTATTGCGAGACGACAGGTAATGTCAACAGAAAGCCTCACGTCAGCTAACAGAGAGAGAGAAACAGAGACTATAGATCACAGTAACATCATACAGGTTTGTCACGCAACCCTTTAACACAGCTTCCTGTGGAATTGAGGAGCTTCTGAGAACCTTAGTTTGGGAAGGGAACCAAACTTAGCTACATTATATGTCCAGAAGTCTTAAGACAGCAGCGATTCTACTGAAATCAAGGGAGTTTGTTCTTCCTTTGCTGCAGTCTCTACTCTTGTGGGAAGGCTTCACACTAGATGTTGGAACATTGCTGTGAGGATTTGATTGAGCATTATTGAGGTCAGGTACTGATGTTGGATGGTCAGTTCTGGAGCTCCATCCAATACCTTTTTGATGAGTTGGAGTGATCCAGAACTGACCATCCAACATCAGTACCTGACCTCATTAATGCTCAATCAAGTCCTCACAGCAATGTTCCAACATCTAGTGTGAAGCCTTAGACTCATGTGACTTCGGGCTGGTCCAGAGCATCCCATTCTGTTGGTCTATGGAGAATAATTAGAAGGTGTCTCTGGGTACTTTTGGACATATAGTGTGTCTCTATTGAAGCAGGCCTGTTTTACATACTTGTGGACTCTTTTTCTTCCTGTCTGTGTTCTGGATGTGAGGCTTTCCACCTTTTAGGAACACCAACACAAGCGTCCAAAAGCAAGCAATGTCATCATGATACAAAATATCATAGACATGAACGACATCCTGCTGCTGCCTAACATAGAACAAGCAAGAAATAACAGTAATAATAAAAAGATGCCCCATTTCTTTATTAAATGTTTAGTATTCTGCAAAATCACCAGCCTTTAGATGCAACTTGGCTCTTTATTTGTTTATTTGTGGAGTTGTGCCGTCTATAATAGATTACATTTGGCATTCAGTGGGACACTTTATTATCTTTTACCCACATATGCTTTTTCACTGTACTAATACTCATCCTGAACATTATCACTCACCCACAAGCACTGACCTAAAAGAGGCCACTGATCATCATGGGAACTGAAGGAAACATGTGACTGACCCTATGAATGGCTGAATTGTGTGGGACTTTGGTGGAGCTTTGCTGTTTGCTATGTAAAAATCATATCAGGCCGCAGTGCAAATATCATGCAAAGTGGCCGCTGTCATTTCAGACTCGGCTGCTGTCGATGAGAAAGCTCACGCCAGTCTGGTATTATTCACGTAACTGTCCTTTGTTATTATTCGTTTCCGAGTTCTGCGGGTTTGAGGGCATTCCTGGTCAAGAAAGTTCAGATATTTTCCTTTACTGGCCAACTCACAGCGTGGAGTGGGCAAAATAAACCATAAACAAAATGAATGGGAAAAATACAACAAACAATACTTGATATTTTCATGATGTACAGATAAAGTGCCCCCACAATGTCATGGAAAAGACTAGATGTTTTGATTCAATGTTTGGAACAATATATTATTTATGAGAAAACTGTTTGGAAAACTGCATTTATTTATAATCCATGCACTTTTTCAGTATTCTAGATGTGCTGACTATAATCACAATATATTCAGAAAAATGACATAATTTATCACACAAAAGTCCAATATCCAGGGCAGAACCCTGACTTTTAGAGCTTGGCCTTCAGTTCAAGCCACAAATGTCAAAACTGCTGCTGCACGTTAACTTTTTTGGCCGTTCTAGATTAAACACAGAATTTGAAGCTTGGAAAAATCATCCCATATGTTTTCTCTGAAGCTTGTAACAGACATTATCTTATATCTGAGCTTGTATGTGTCAGTTTTACAGTGACTCTTTCAGTAAAGAGTTCTGTCATAGAGCTGCCGCCACTGTTTTACATTCCTAACAACTAACCGGAACACTGCTTAGACTACGGCTCGTATTCACAGTCAGTGATGTATCTAGAACCTCCAAAAGACTTTTTTTTCTCACAAAAATTGGTGCCTGGTTGATTCCTTTCTCACTTCCTAATTATGCTTGTAGTTATTCTAACGTTTAAGGCCTTCAGTGCAGCTCCTGAAGTCCTAACCAATGGGAGAGCTCGCTCAGCTGTATCTACCTTGATACTACAGAGAAAACAATCCTGATTGGATCATTTTCTGTTGGCTGTTTCAAGAATTTAACCCTTTTGTTTCCAACCAGAACCCAACACAGAAATAAGAGTATTACTATAATACTTAAAGAGTTTAAACACAACAATCGTGATGATTCTAAAAACTAAAAATGAACTGAAAATTATAGACATGTATTTTTAGGTCACAGAAATTAGGCCTTATCTAAAGAACTAGTAGGGTCTGAGGGTTCTTCACTAGTGATATCATGGTAACACTTACTTTTACGGTCCTCTAAGTTCTATCAAATTCTTTTAGGTAGCATCACCGTAAATTCTGAGGCAAAAATGTACGTAGTTTCACTGTAATGTCACACGTTAAAGCAGGAAAGTCATCAAAAACACCTCTGATTAGCGAGTACGTCATATGTCGTAAAAAGGCCTTGTTATGTAAACAGTAAGAATGCAGTAGAACCACAGCTATAATCGCTGCTTTCTTTTACAGCCCAGATTCAGTTTAGCTTGTAGATAATAAACATGTACAGACTGTATAAGACTCTGTACGTAGACTCTGTACTCATATACAGTCTTGGAACCTTGGAACTTGAAGTAGTACTTTGGAGTAGCTCACTCTTACCTGCTTAATATCGAGAACGTAAGGCACTGTAGAAGAAAGCCAACATCATCATTTTCCCCATCGCTACTACGTTTTCTGTTCATTAGCCTTGTCTCTCTCCTTTTTTCCACTCTATGTGGGATTTATATTCATGTGATTTTGCTAACATATTCACTCAGCCCTTTTCTGCTGAGTCACTTATTAAAGATGATCCTGTTTCTTTGTTGTAGGAGGATATGGAGTCGGGCTGACACCACAGCAAGGTACACCGTTTAATCACTACGCTGTCATACCCACAAACACAGTTAGTGGCATTATTATCTCAGGGATTGCATAATATTGTGTGTTTGCCAAAGCGAGGTGGCTGGCCAAAGAGGGAAGCATCCTAGCATACGGTCTGACTAATTACCCAACACGTCCTCCAGCTCTCTGAATGAAATACAGGAGGCATAAAGACGTGCCTGTGCATCTGAAACACTCTTCATCTCCAAAAGATTTGCAGACTCCAGAGTTTCTTCTGAGATGAAGGTGTTAATAGTGAGTCTGTGCTGCAGTAACAGCCTCTACTCCTCTGGGAAGATTTTACACTAGATGTTGGAACATTGCTGTGAGGATTTGATTGAGCATTAGTGAGGTACTGATGTTGGATGGTCAGTTCGGGATCACTCCAACTCATCCCAAAGGTGTTAGGGGGCTTTACACCTCTCTAGCCCACACTTGGCTTTGGTCATGGTGACCTGCCGCTGCTCCCAAGCACCCCATTCTTCTCAGTGCTTTTCTATGGAGATTATACAAGCTGTGCACAGTTCAACACATTAAAGTAGCTGAACTCACTCATTAGAAGGGCTGTCTGGATCCCTCTAGACATGTAGTGTAAGACTGATTGGAAGATTTTCCAAACATTCCGTAAAAAAGCATCTTTGGTGAACTTCTCTTTCACTTTCTTCCAGCTAAAGCAGCCAAATACAGAGCACTGCAGGGATTCCTGGGTGGAGGCTACAGAGGTACGGCTCTGGGGAGATCTAACGCTACCCAGCCCCCTTCCTGGCACTAAGCACGTCATGTCTTTGAGAAGTCATTGGTGGCTGCACGGATGAGTTCTATTCCAGCGAGTGTCTGGAACACAGATTGCACTAATCCCTCCTGTATAATCACCACTCTCTATTCCGCTATCCTGCTTTTGCACCACAGTGATTCTGCAGTCCTGTGCATGCATATTGTATTTTCCCCACTTCTAACATTTGACTTTATACACTGATTCATTTCTGCATGACCATTTTCAACATCTTTTTCCATAAAAATTAAACAGGCGTTTTTTTTTTTTTACTGTACCTTTAAGACGTTTAAAAGAGCTCTGTTCTGATTGGCTGATATGCATTGTGCCTCATTCAAAAAGCAGTCCAGGGAGAATCTATAGAGATTTTACAAAGATTCTGACATTCACCAGTGTTTTCTTATTTGGGATTTGTTCTTTGTTCACACTCGAGAGCACAAAGGTGAGAACTGTTCTGCGCTTTAAAAACACGTCATGAATCTAGCGTAGACTTTTTCTTAGGATCAAGAACACATTTAAGAACAAACTTAGGCATTGGTGAATGAGGCCCAAAGTCTTTACAGAAGAACCTTTGAAGAGCCATTTTTAGGAGATAAATGGTCCAATAGAAATGAATTAGGACCTAAGAGAACTGTACAACGTGGGCCCTTTAGGAACCATTCATTAGCCTGTCATCGATTTACTGGTGCAGCTTTTAACTGCACTGTTGTTTTGCAGGCGGAGTTGGATGCCAAGGCAAATACTGTGGCAGGAGAAGAAAATGAGCGATCTCTTGAGATGTGAAGTGACCTCAAGAAACAATGGTGCTACTGCATGATCTAGAATGTACATTTGATATGCAAAGAAATCCCACCATGTACAAATATGTTTTATACCTACAGGAAATATTTTTGAAAAGAATCCAAAGGAAAAAAGCCCAGAAAGACGGACAGAGAGAGAAAAAGAGAAAAAAAGAGAGAGAGAGAGAGAGAGAGATGCTGTTTGAGTGATGATGTAGATCAAATTTGCAGTCGATCATGTGACACATTCCAACATGTTGCTGTTTCTTTTTGTAGGTTTGGTTAAACTGGCAGAAAAACAGGTTCATTATCTAGGGCGCCTATTTGTGTTTTCTAAGATTTCTTTTAGATACGATTCTAAATAAGCCATAATATTTCCGTGATGGAGATGTTTGGCAGACCAAATGCCAAATACCATAGGAATGGTTTGCATTTAACATCTGACACTCTTTATTCTGGGTGATAAATGTGCACAAATAAAAAAAAAGGATCTGTTGTTTTTGGGAATAAATCAACATGTGCAATTTCAAAATGCTAGTTTAATCCTAAAATATTGGCTCTTTGTTGGATTTGGGGTTTTGATGCTATTTCTAACATGAAATGGAAGCACTGTTCTGCCCAGTTCATGAGGACGACCCTGTTTCAGTACCTTTTCTAACATGTTCTCGCCAAATTCTGCTCGGCTAGGTTAGCTTCAGTGAGCTAATTACCCAGCTAGAAAAAACAGCACAGACCATCAATCCATGACTGATAACCAGCAAAACCAGCTTGTGTTGTGTTTTGGATGCTGGTATGAAGGTTAACCAGTATGACCATGGTGGGTGACCAGCCAAACCAGCACCAGACCAGCATAAACCAGCGTAAACCAGCTTAGACCAGCATGTAATGCTATGCAAACTCTGTAAAGCTATTTTTGAGAAATATGAATATAACAAACATTGATTTTGTGTATAATTGCTTTGTCTGTCTATAAGCTTTGGTTTAAAACCATCTTTCTTTTGGTTTTTGCTAGCAGTGTAGCAGTGTAATGAAGTTGTGTCAGCAGCCATGTAGTAGTTTACTACTAGTTTTTGGTCTGAACTTAGCCAACTGAATGTTATAGCTTTGAAATATTAAGTATTTTCATGTATTTTATTGTTAGAGCTTATAAACAGCTTTGTTTGGCACTTTTGAAAAAGGTAAAGCTACTCATGTAACCAACTTCACAAGCTAATACAGTAATGGAACGTTTTTTAAGGTGGCGCTGGGGATTCCCCTAAGGACACATTAGGATGAGTATTGAAACAGGCGGAATGAGTCCAGCCTCAGATTCACACTCTTTATTTTTATCTAAGCAGAGTTTCTTCCATCTGAAACTAAGCTTGGATCTTTGCTACTAAAACAGACACTACATCATCTCTCAAGCACATGGATAAGACCATAATCAGGCACATTTTAGCAACAAAACCCCAAAGATAAGACAGTTACGCAAATGGCCTTGAAACTGACCTCACCCACCTTGACCACCTCGGCCTTCGTTCTTGCCAACTCTGTCAAGTATGAAGAGCTGCTGTGCTCTGATTATGTTGACAGCATGCAAACGTGGATGAAAGATTTTAGGGCTTCCCCAGAAAACAGGTCCTCTTTTTGCGCACTTTGGACACAACATACGGTCTTGTGCAAAAGTTTTGGCACCCCCGGTCAAATTACTTTTTTTGTATACGTTAAAAGTTTATAAGTGGAAATAATGTGTCCTTTTACAGGGAAGAAGTTCTGCAAATTTTAATTCACGCTCACTATTTCTTCGCTGAATTTACCAAAAACCATAAATTGAGGCTTGTGCTTTTGCACATGCAGTTTTATGTTTTATGTGGCTGTGTCTTCACTGAAGTTAACATTAACAATTTGGAAGCACATCAAATATAAAACCGCTTGTTCAAATGTTTTTCCACATTTTTATGTTTCATATTCTCCAATGTGTTAAAATTAGCTCCTAAATAGAACTTGAGCATGAAAATAAGCAGAATTCTGCCATATTTAAGTGCGTTCCCTGTACAGCACGTCTTAAAGTATTTGCAAATTAGAGAATTAACAGAAAAAGCAGTTTGACTGGTGTGTTTAAACTTTTGCATGAGACTGTATGTGTTTTAAAAAGGATAGTTGATGAGAAATCATAGTGCTGACTAGTGCTGGCTAATTTTGAACCTGAAAAAAAAACATAAATAAACACGTATGTCATCCCTAAAGTCGGGGACCAGGTGCTTTCGTTGCTCGATGCAGAAAGTTTCTTTAACCGTTTGTTTGAGTTAGCTCTTATATATCATATGCTTACAGTATGTTGGATCATTTAACAGCAGGTTAATTTGCTTTGTTGTTGTTCTGTTTGCACCATTCGAACTTGACTTTTCTACATTATTACCAAGTTTGTACACATGATATGACAATAACTATTGTTTTTGTTTTTATTTTGCTTTCAGTAGCTTATGCATTTTAGTCACTGTGGAAATTTGTAATACTGTATAAGATTTTTTTTTAAAGATGTGAGCAGCGTGTCAGAGAACGAGTGTGTGCGAGTGTGCGAGTGATTTTCACCCCCGAAGTGTGCTGATGGTGCGCGTGTGAGTGTATTTTATCTAATTGACTGAGCTTCTCTGTGTAAGCCTCACTAGCCAATGTATTACCCATCCAATATTAAATGAGTTGTCCTCAGTAAATCATTTCTCACCACGTTGGTAAACCGTACTGTTTGGAGTTCATCGGAAAACGACACTTTAACTGAGCTCTTCCTACCTGGTGCTGTATTTGAACTGCCTGTGAGCCCGACCAGGTCTTACGATGTCTGTTGTGCCGTGGGATTTCCATCTTATTTAATATAAGGGGTGGGGGTACTGCACTTTTTCCACGACGCACATCCGACTTTGTTCCCCGGAGAACCCGGCTTTTTAACTGCTTCAGTGAAAACGAAATAAAAACGTTTCTAAAAGGAAACTCACCTGTCTTCTTGCATCATTTCAAACTAGCTTAAAGTTTTAATAATGAAACTTTGTCAAGATTTAGTTCAAGATGTGGCTTAAAAGGGAATTCCACCAAAATTTCTGCATAATTAAATGGTTAACATGTAAATAAAGTCATTAGATTTGTTCACAGTGGTGGTGATACAAACAGCTGCCGCCTGAGACATTGTTTTATATTTTTATGGCTTTGAAAAGGAATTTACAGCTAATTATTCAGATTTTCCACTGTTTTATCATCATCAACATTCCATATAAACTCAGAAGACTCGTGTAGGTTCACTGGTGGTTTTGGATTGTAAATAAAATGGCTATATCTGTGTTGTAGTCATGGCGACCCCTGGTTCCTATCACCACCACTGTAAAGAAATCTGAGTCTCTACAATCAACCTTTTCACACCAAACTACCATTTATTTCTATACTATTTTGCCTCCATGTATGGCTATTAGAAAATCTCAAAACTGTCATAAAACAACGTCTCAGGCAGTGAATTCATAACCATTTCATGTAGTAACTTTCTGTGAGGGAGCTTTTAGAGGTGGACGTCTGGTTCCTATCACCACCACTGTGAATAATTCTGACTCTGTTAGTTTCTCTAGAACAGAGCGTTTCACACCAAACTACTCTGAATGACTCTGTTTACATCTTAACCCTTTAATTATGCTGATTTTTTATGGAATTCCTCTTTAAACGCTGCACAATGAAAGACATTATGCATGAACCTGAATATGTTAATGCCACCACTACTGAAAGACATCTTAAGTTTTAAAAAAATATGTTTTTTATCATCCTGACCACTTCACTGAAATACTCCTGTCAAGGTGAGCAGCTCCAGAGACAGAGGTGTTACCTGGGCCTGCATCAGTTTAGCCATCTACAGGTTGGCTAACATGGTTAATTTCATGCCTCATGCTAAATATTCTATAATAATAACATGAATAATAAAAATATCTGATGTTACACAGAATCTCTAATTGACCAGAATGTCCAGATGTTTCTCCTCTGCACTTTTGGACTCAGCAATATGGCCATGAGTCTAAAAACATGCTAAGATTTGCAAAGATTGTGGCATTTTTTAAGCCCAAACATACTGGAAATGTGTTTTTTTACCAATGAAACATCTGTACTATCCTGCTGAAACCTCCATTTGTCCAAAGTGACTAACAGAAAACAAACTAAAAAAATTGGCCAGCATTGATGTTTGTTATAATTAGCATATAGGCTTACAAGCATGCTAATAAACAGGAGCCAACTAACTGAAAATGTAAGGTTATTAAAAAGACAGACCTACACCTATAGGCTAAGGCTGGAGTAATTACATTGGATTATACACTACATGTCCAAAAGTATTCGGACAGACCCTCTAGTGAGTGAATTTGGCTGCCTTAAGGTCACCCATTACTGATAATGCACTGACCAATAAGTTTTAAGAGGTGAAATTGACTTGTGAACTGCCTGTAGATGAGTTAGACCAATCAGAAGCAGCCAAACATTCATGTGCTGTGACATCACAGGTTCACAACCTCAAGAAACTGGCAGTCGAGTGCACTATATTCAACTAGTCAAGAAAAAGTGCATATTTTGGTCTTCTTGGCCAAAATAACAGTTGTGCAGCTTAATTTAAATAAACAAATAAATAAATAAATAAATAATCACAATCGCAGTCACAATACTGGTCAGAAAAATCACAATTCTATCTTCCTCAAATCGTTCAGCCCTACAGGAACCTAAAGTCACCATGCTCAATGCCTCAAAGCATGGGCTAGAGGGGTCTAAAGCCCCCCCAGCATTTGGCCATGTAGCAGCGGAACTCTGTTCTCTAGAGTGATGGAGCTCCATCCAATACCTTTGGGACCTGACCATCCAACATCAGTACCTGACCTCAATAATGCTCAATCAAATCCTCACAGCAATGTTCAACATCTAGTGTAAAGCCTTCCCAGAAGAGTAGAGGCTGCTAACAAACTCCCTGTACATATATATGCACCAATCAGGCACAACATTATGACCACCTCCTTGTTTCTAGACTCATTGTCCATTTTATCAGCTCCACTTACTATATAGGTGCACTTTGTAGTTCTACAGTTACAGACTGTAGTCCATCTGTTCCTCTGGATACTTTGTTAGCCCCCTTTTACCCTGTTCTTCAGTGGTCAGGACCCCCATGGACCCTTACAGAGCAGGTATTATTTGGGTGGTGGATCATTCTCAGCACTGCAGTAACACTGACATGGTGGTGGTGTGTTGCGCTGGTCTGAGTGGATCAGACACAGCAGTGCTGCTGGAGTTTTTAAACACTGTGTCCACTCACTGTCCACTCTATTAGACACTCCTACCTTGTTGGTCCACCTTGTAGATGTAAAGTCAGAGACAATAGCTCATCTGCTGCTGCACAGTTTGTGTTGGTCATCCTCTAGTCCTTCATCAGTGATCACAGGACGCTGCCCACAGGACGCTGTTGGCTGGATATTTTTGGTTTGTGGACTATTCTCAGTCCAGCAGTGACACTGAAACCACCACGTCAGTGTTACTGCAGTGCTGAGAATGATCCACCACCCAAATAGTACCTGCTCTGTGAGGGTCCATGGGGGTCCTGACCACTGAAGAACAGGGTAAAAGGGGGCTAACAAAGTATGCAGAGAAACAGATGGACTACAGTCTGTAATTGTAGAACTACAAAGTGCAGCTATATAGTAAGTGGAGCTGATAAAATGGACAATGAGCGTAGAAACAAGGAGGTGGTCATAATGTTATACCTGATCAGAGTACACACACACACGTTTATATGTACACTTCTACTGTGCGCAAACTGCGCAGAGCTCATTCTGCTTTCCAGGCACTTTCCAGGGATCATATTTAGTTGGCCAACTCAAAGCTCCCTGCCTTGTTGTTTTTCCACCCGTATTCCTATTAGCCCTACTAGCCCCGCCCCCTGCATCAGGATTGGACGAAGCGTGTAAGTATAAATTTGTAACCAACTGCAGCGCAGAAGGCGGGATCAAACTAGCCAATCAGAGCAGCAGTGCTTCTTATTACGACCCTCCACCCAATCCCATCCAGTCCGTCCAGCTCCAGATCCTAGGCAGGTCTTGTCGGGAAGCGGGTGGGAAAAGAAACTCGCGCCGACCGCAGCTCCGCTGGTGTGCTGCAGAATCGGCCCTGAGCTCCTCGGGAAGCGCATCGTCTCCGGTGGCGGCTCTCTTCAGGAGAGCGGAGGGAGCGGAACCGGACTGGAACCACACGGTCGCCTCGCTGTATCTGCTCGCTAGGCTCTCTGCGGAGCTCCCGCTCGGAGGGTGAATGAGGTTGATGCTGCTGTGTTGCACCTGGAAGGACGAGCGCATGGGAGAGGACGAAGGTTGGTATGAGTGCCCTTACAGAGCGGCGCTGCCCCTTCAGCGCAGCCCGGAGAGGCTCACTGCAGGGCGGGTCACTCACAGCGTTCCGGCCTGCGCCGCTCTGAGGAGCCGGAGCTCCGTGTCGAATTAGTGATTGTAGTTTTGGGGTCAGTTTGATGGTCAGTCAGGAAACACAGCCGCATCACTACAGCCTGAATATCACACAGGGCGCTCAGCACTGACCGAACACCTGCACACTGACCAGCTGCGCAGCGCTGTGGTTGTTTATTCTGTCGGGTCTGACTTTATTTACTCTTTCTTTCTGCTTGTTCTTCTGCACTGTTTTGTCTTTTCCTTCTCTTTCTTTTGACATTTCTTTCTTTCGTCCTTCCCCTTTCCCTTTCCCCCTCTTTTTCCCTTCCCATAGCAATTTCTTGTGCTTTGTTTTGTAATACCTTTCTTTCCTCCTTTCTTTCCTCCTTTCTTTCTTTCTTTCTTTCTTTAGTAATATATTTCTTTCTTTCTTTCCAGCTTTCTTATGTCCTTCTTTAAAGAAATGTCTTTCTTGTTTCCTTCTTGTGTCACTTCTTTCTTTATTCCCTTCTTTAGTAGTTTCATTTACCCTTGTTCTTTCTTTCTTTAATCATTTATCACTTTCTTCCATTTTCTGACATTCTTTCCTTCTTTTGTCCCTACTTTCTTTTTTTCTTTCTTTCTTTCTTACTTTCTTCAGTAATATATGTCTTTCTTTCTTTCCAGGTTTCTTATTTCCTTATTTAAAAAATGTCTTTCTTTTTTCCTTCTTTTGTCACTTCTTTCTTTTTTTTCCTTGTTATTCTTTTTTCCATTCCTTAGTAGTTTATTTTCTCCTTGATCTTTCTTTCTTTCTTTCTTTCTTTCTTTCTTAAGTCACTTTTTACTTTCTGTCCTGCTTTCTTTTTTCCTTCTTTTGTCACATCTTTCTTTCTTTTTCTCTTTGTTATTCTTTTTTTCCTTCTTTAGTAGTTTCCAAATGTCTTTCTTATTTTCCCTTTTCTTTCTTTCACCATTTCTTACTTTCTGTCCTACTTTTTCCACTCTTTTGTCACTCTTTTTTCTCCTTATAGTTCTTTATTTCTCTCCCTCTTTTGCCTTTTGCCTCTCTCTCTCTCCCTCTCTCTCTCTCTCTCTCTCTCTCTCTCTCTCTCTCTCTCTCTCTCCCTCTCCTCTTGATTAATATTGTAGAGGTTCTCTATGGAGCTGCAGGTCTGTTTAGATCCTCTCCAGCACGTTAAAGATTAATGGACAGTGTTCTGTGTTCTGAGCGAGTCACAGTGAGAACCTGTGCAGATGTAGACAGTCTGGAACTTATATTTTAATGTAGTCTACTTAGACTTTGGTTAGTCCAGTTTCTGTCATGGTTCTGTGAGGATGAGGGTCTCAGGGTAGACTGTGTGGAATGAACGTCCTCATTACGATCTGAAAGAGACGAGGCAGCATCCGTCTGCAGAACCTGACGATGCTGAACAGAACTGTCCAGCCACTGACTGACCGCTCAGTAAACTCAGCACAAACACAGTTTCTAGAGCTGCTTCTCAGTGCTGAGTTCACTGATAAACGGAAGTCATTCTTCTGTGTTTAACACCTTTAAGGCGTGTCCTGCTCTCTCCACTCAGTGAGGCGAGTCCAGGAAACTGCAGCAAATCTGGAAATGTACTTCAAAGCAGATGAGTATCTGTCTGATATCAGCGTCAGGCTCACAATACATGACTTGCATTCGCTCACTTCAAACAACGAACGCTGACGTCTGACTACAGTGGTCTAACATAAAATTAAAATTAAAGGGGAATTCCACTGATATTACAGAATTTCTCTGTAATTTACTTGTTGAGATGTAAACAGAGTCAGTCAGAGTGGTTTGGTGAGAAACGGTTCATTGTACACTCTTAAAAAGATGGTTCTTCAAGGGTTCTTTAGTAAAGACAGCGGTTATATATAGAATCATGAACACTCAAAGAACCATTTCATGCTTAAATGGTTCTTTGCATAGTAAAATGGTTCTTCAGACTGATGGAGAATGTGTTGTGTATGGTTCTGGATAGCATCTTTTTGAAAATGGTCCTGTTTTGCACCAAAAAGGGTTGCATGGGTGTCCCAACTTTTTTCAGAGAGGGCCAGGTCATGTCAAAATTCATGAGGGCTGAAATTTTATTCACAAACGAGTCCAAATATTATTCTATTTTCTAAATATCGGCGCGTAGAATCAGAGCTTTCTGTGAGCTTCTGTTTCCTATCACTGTGTTAAAGATGCACGGGGCTCCTTTCATTGTTGGATTTCTCAGAGCAGCTTGGATCAGAAAGTGCCTATAAAAAATAATTTAATTGTTTAAGAGTAACAATAAACATGCTAATGTATTAAGCGTATTCTTATTCAAGTGTTCAAAAAATATAAAAAAAAAATTTTTTTTTAGATACATTTTCTTCACATAGCAAATAAGTGCAGCGACCGCATTAGTAGAAGTATAAGAGCAGATTAAACAGCATAAATAGCCGTTTTTGTTTGTCCTTAAAGGATTAACATTTCCTGACCTGCTGAATTTGCTCTGATAAGAAGTCGGTGCTGTGAGACTCGCGGAGCTGCAGCTGCTGTAGTTTCTCTCCTGATTATTTACTGTGATGTTTATGCTACGTAGGAGTTTAAATACTGACTCCTGCAGCACAACAGAGCAAAATATCGCTAAAAATGGTCATTTGGGATTCATCCACATTCATACTCAATGTGCAGTGCATGATTTGACAGCAGAAGCTAGAATTTCTAAACCTAAATGTTACACAGCACAATATTTAGGGAGTACAGAGCTGTTTGGGACTCAGCCTGGGTTTGACGCGACTTCTGACTGAAACATGAACATTTGAAGCATGTTAGACATGCAGGTGACATTCTTTAGACTTTTATACTGCAGTTTCACAGTGAATCATATCGTGAGTGCTTTAATTCAAGCCTGTGATATTAATGATGGAGCTGTTTAGGCTGTTGGCTCGTTTAGGCTGTTAGCTAGCTGACCAGCCCAGTTCTAGATAAGAAAATAAGTTTTCAGCCCCTCAGTTTAAACAAAAAACAGGTTCTTACTTCATCAGTACACTCGGTGCTCCGTGCGATCAGCGTTAGAGTCAAAGATTACTCAGCAGAAGGGTTTTTCGTGGCGCAGTGATTTTACAATGGCTTCAATCGCGGCTCAGCCAATCAGATTTTAGGACCGGAACTGTGTGTTTTCTAATACCGAACATCATGTTTTGTCACAATGACAGACTGGATAAAAATCATAGTAATCTGTATTTAATAAAGAAGCGTTTTGGTTCTTTTTTGTCTGTTCCACTGTATCAGATGTTAGACAAAAAAATCCTGAGACATATCTTGTATCGTTCTTGAAGTATCGTGATATTGTATTTTTGCCATATCGCCCACCTCTAATCCTGACAGATAAATCATAGCTGTTGTATACTGTGTGGTTCATGGCTGAGACAACAACAGAAAAGAAAAACTCAACACTGTGAGCTCGTCGTGGCAGTCGTGGGCTGGAGGTTAGGGAACCAGTCCTGTGACTGGAAGGTTGCCGGCTCGATCCTCTGAGCCGACAGTATGTGACTGAAGTGCCCTTGAGTAAGGCACCTAACCCCCAACTGCTCCCTGGGTGTTGCACATAGGGCTGCCCACCGCTCTGGGCAAGTGTGCTCACTCCCCCATAGTGTGTGTGTCTTCACTACATGGATAGATTAGATTGTGGAGGTGAAATTTCCCCATTGTGGGACTAATAAAGGTCACTTAATCTATAGCATCATCGTGAGCAGGAAAGAGGCTGAAGAGCTGAGCCAGCCAAGGAGACACGCTCACTAGAGAGAATAAACAGGAAAAACGTCATTTTGTCACAGGTAGACAGTTTGGTGAAGGACAAATTCTGCAGTTTTGATCATTTCTGAGTGTGGAGAGTTGTTCACAATTGACACTGGCCGATGACTGACTTCTGCTTTAGCTCGACAGTGAATGCCGTTAATGCCAAAATGGTAGCAGGACTCACGTAGCTTAAGCTAACGCCATGTTAGTTACCCAGTTTTGCTGTCATGATGATGTTTGATGGTTTAGTGATGGCAAAGACAGAATATCACTGATGCACAGATCACTAATGATATAATTGTAGTGATTTGTGTGCTTTCATCTCCTGTGGTGTGTTGATGTGTCCACTGATGCAGCATTTAGAATACCAGTGTTCGGATATGTTATCTCATGTTATGTTATGGCAACTCAAAGATAAACTTGATTCAGTACGGATCAGCGCCTCCGATCAAACCGACTTTTTCTTGATATCTTTATTTGGAAGCCGTAACCGGCACTGCCTGCTTTTACGCACTGTGTTGATGGTATGTCAACAGTGTGGCTGTGGGACACTTTGTCCCAGTTTTGAGGATGTTATCTATTTAAATACTGACACCTCGAGCAGTTACCTGGGTGCTGGAGTGATCATCATGCACATCCCTGATCTGTATCTGTCTTATATGCTTCATGTTACAGAAGTACTGATACCCATCATATACTCAGAAAAGAGTATTGTGATGTACCACAACAACAACAGCAACATAGCATTGTGTTGCCCACACCTACCCATGCAGCAGTGTGGTTCAGCAGGGCCGTCGGTGCTGCTCTGAAGCTCCGCTTCCTTGCTCTGATGTACAGATAGCCGCTGAAAGCGTCTCCAGAATAATTAGATTAAACTGCTAATGCAGTGATGAAGCCTGGTCCTCTGCACAAAATAGAAATCAGTTCACGTCAGGATCTTTGAACGAATGCGAGGATTGATTGAGGGGACGAATTTATTTTATCTTGGCTTAGCTGGACTTAGCATGACTTAGCATAGCGTCGTTTGACCGTTTTAGATAAAAGTGCTTCTGAAAAGTGTAAAAGGGAGCCTAGAAGCTGAGTTTGTTATCAGAATTAGATGTAAAGGAGTCATTAGTGAGGAACAAGCCACCATCATTTTTTCTACTGTTGTCACCTGGAGCTCGATCAGTGGCAAAAGATAAGATACAATAACAATTTATTAATAGCTAACGGGAAATTAGAGTTTTCCGGCAGCATATACACCAGACAAATGTGTGTACATATATATATATATATATATATATATATATATATATATATATATATATATATATATACCCAATGTTTTTTGAGACTGTCTTTACATGACATTTCTTTCATGACATTACATTTCTTTACAATACTAATTGTAAAGCTAATGAGCCACTTTAAAGATTCACTGAAGATTCACTACAAATAGTAGGCTAATCGCAACAACCACAGCAGGGCTGGGCAATATGACGATATTTATCATTATCGTGATAAATTATCTCACAGTACAATACAATATGCTTTTCTGAGCATATTGTGTACATCGTTAGTACTTTTAGAACATTAAACATGTGTCACTATAAAAAGAGCAAGATTAGTCCAGTTTACCTGGATTTATTGCCAAATATAGAATAAAAATCACTGTGTTCAGAGTTTTTGATAGTATTTTTTATAAATGTAGCACTACTGGTTCTTTTTTCACAGATCAGTTGTCTGAAACAGTAAATATTGTGACGTATTGTGTATCATGAAAATCTCTAGAAGTATCTAACTGTAGTATGAGTACATAAAAAGCATAATTAGACCTGTATAATGTAGTGCAGCACAGTTTGTGAAATGTGAAATATAAAGTCATGCTATTGATATGGTTTTTGATATCGTTTTTAAATTTGGCACTACTGTGTCTTTAACAACTTATCAAAAATCAGGAAAAATCTATATTGTGTATGTATTGTGTATTGTGAAAACTTCTTAAAGTATTGTGATATTACATTTTTGCTATATCGCCCACCTCTGATTATTAGCAAACAAGCAAATTATTGAGGAAGGTAATGAAAGTGTGGTTATTATACTTACAGTACATTTTGGTAGGTATTTATTTTTATTTAATGTTTTTAAAAATATAAATACAGCAAAAGCCATTGGTTTAATGAACATATGGCAGTAAAACATGTTTTGTGTTTGTTAATAGAAGTAAATTTTTCGTCATTCATTATTCATTATTCGTTCTGTTCTTAGATGAAGATCACTTTAGGAGCCACCCATGTAGAAATCCAGATCCTCCTGAAGGTTCACACACTTTTTACTCACAGCTGTATATTATCAGTTCATTCTGTTTAAAGTGGCTTCCATGGATGATGTTATGCATTTAAAGGCAAACACTGTGGTGACTTGTTGTTTTGTGTTCGACAGCCGGCGGAAGCTTGCCCGTGTGTGCGGGGTGCAGACAGCGCATCTACGATGAGCAGTACCTCCAGGCCCTCAACACTGACTGGCACACAGTTTGTTTCAGGTTGGTTTTTATCCTGTTCTTCAGTTCGTTACTGGCAGAAAAGGCCAGTTGCTGCTTAGTTGGTGATGCACTTTTTCTGCTTGGTAGACAGGAAAGAAGAAGAAGTCTAACTGTTCACTCTCAGCAGCAGAAACCAATGAGACAGTTTGCAATACCATATCGGTATCGGCAATGGGAATACAGACACCTATGACTGACACCACAAAGCAATTTCTGACCCACACACATCCTACTAATTACATAATAGTAAATACTACTATATGTAGTAAATAAACAAAAATAGGTTTTCTTTATGCATCTAATACTGAATATACTCCAATAAATAAATGCCCTCTAGACAGAACATAATTTGACCAAAATAAAATATTTAAAAAATGTAATTATATAAATATCAGGACATACAGGCCAGTTAGGTTGGAGAGTTAGTGTCGTATCGGTACTCGGTATCGGCATATATATATATATAAGGATCAGGTATCAGAATCGTTATCGGAAGGGAAAAAGTGGTATCGGTGGATCTCTACATTAGTCAATTGTTCAGGGTTCAAAATATGATTCAGGAAATGCACATAACTATTGATAATTAGCGATAGCTACTGATCTGCAGAGACAGATCATGATACTGTATTGTGATTTTTGGCCAGCTCTACAAGATACTATTAAATTTAAAAGAAAGGAAGTGATTGGTTCGCCATTTCTAAGTGTGATTGATGATTTGATGATTTGCATTAACTTTTTGTTACGTTCTTTATGAGCGTAAGGCATCATTTATCAGCTAAACTTTAGCCATAAATTGTAATTTCATTCATTTTCCAAATTTTCTTCATAACTGACAGGGGTGGTGATAGGAGCCAGGCGTCGCCATGACTACAACACAAATATAGACATTTTATTTACTATCCAAAACCACCAGTGAACCTACACGAGTCTTATGAGTTTATATTTAATGTTAATGATGGAAAATAGTGGTATATCTAAAAAATTCTACCTTTGGGGACTATTTTGACTCACAGCGCCCTGCATATTATGTATCCCTCCACCATGAGTGAATTTTAAGGCCAAAATCTTCTCAGAACTATCATAAAACAGTGTCTAAGACATCAGATAATGTCTCAGGTGGACGTCTGGTTCCTATCACCACCACCGTGAACAATTCCCGACTCAGTAAGTTTCTCCAGAGCAGAGCATTTCACACCAAACCACTCTTAACGACTCTGTTTACATCTTAACCAGCAAATTATGGAGAACTTTTTTTAAAAATCTGTAGAATTCACCTTTAATCTTGATCAGCTTTTTGTATCACCTGTGCTCATGACTGCAGTAGGGACGTGTTTCAGTCATGGCGTCAGGCGTTTTTCTTCTGTCTAAACATATTATTTGGGTTAAGACTACAGTGTCCTACAGAAGTATTGAGATATTAAAGTCACTTGCACTGTGTGCTCAGGCTCCGTAGACTAAAGATTAACAGCTGGATGTGAGATAAAAGCACTCAGCTGACCTTCCCTGCCTGTTCTGTGTTATGGAATTAAAAACGTTCTGTATCTGGGCCAGATTTTAGGTGTTGAGACAACTCAGTGTAAATATGTAAATGTAAATAAAAAGTAGAGTTAAAGTTCCGAGCACTGACATCATCACCGTCCTGAGAGGAGCTTTGCCAGGCTTTTATTGCACTGCAGTTTGTTTGTGCTGAAGGATTTCTGGCTGTGTCCTTTTCATCAAGTGAAATGCACACGTGATTAAGTTTAACTAAGTAATTGACTTTAACGGTCCAGAGCGTCTCACTGTTCTGCTGTCTGGGCGGCAGCCTCAGAGCGTGTTCAGACTTAGAATTAGAAAAGAACCCTGGTGAGATTGCTCGGTTAAAACAAGGGAGAACGCTGCTGTTAGAGCCCTGGTGCACCACATAAGCAGACCAAGACCCCCTGAGGCGTGCGCTCTTCCAAACTAACTGCGGTTCGGTTTGTTTAAAATCCGAACGCAGAATGAAGCGTCGTCTGCTCTCCGCAGGCCTGCTGGTTCCTGAAACTGAGGAGTTTCTGCCAATGTTTTGGCTTGTGTACATGTGTATGGGTCACACCGCTGCCCTCCATGCGGCAGACGGGTTTGGTTCACCACCTGGGCAACCATATACCAGTAAGACCCGGTTTACACCTGGTCACTTCCTGTGTCTAGTATCTGGATTGTATCCTGATAAGATTTTAGCCACATGTATTAACACTTGGCAGTCAAATGCGTCTCTGGTTAGTCGGACTGCAGTCCGATTACTGTGTGGCACAGAATATGCAAATCCGCTCATTGAGCAGCAACCAATTACCAATTGTTTATCAGTTCAGCCTCTTCCTGTCTTATGCTAAAGATGGCTGTTGCCTCAAAATTTGCAAGTTAGCATGCGGTCGTGCATTTCTTTAAACTTAGGGGAACCATGTGCACCCTTCATGATTATCGTCCTCACAGACACGGATCATGTGCCCAGTGACGCACTGCATGGGGAGGAGTTTCAGTTGTACCAGGAGGGATTTCGGTTGTACTAAGAGGAGTTTCGTTTGTACTGGAAGGCATTTCATTTGTACTGGGAGGAGTTTTCTTGTACTGGAAGGAGTTTCAGTGGTACTGGGAGGAGTTTGGGTTGTACTGGGAGGGGTTTTGATTTAACTAGGAAGGGTTTTGATTTAACTAGGAGGGGTTTTGGTTGTACTGGGAGGGGTTTTGATTTAACTAGGAGGGGTTTTGGTTGTACTGGTAGGGGTTTTGATTTAACTAGGAGTTTTGTTTTTTGGAGTTTCATTTGTACTGGGAGGAGTTTCATTTGTACTGGGAGGAGTTTTGTTTGTATTGGGTGGAGTTTTGGTTGTACTGGGAGGGGTTTTGGTCATACTGGGAGGAGTTTCATTTATACTGGGAGGGGTTTGGGTTGTACGGGAGGGGTTTTGGTTGTACTGGGAGGGGTTATGTTTCTACTGGGAGGAGTTTTCTTGTACTGGAAGGAGTTTCAGAGGTACTGGGAAGAGTTTGGGTTGTATGGGGAGGGGTTTTGGTTGCACTGGGAGGGTTTTTGATTTAACTAGGAGGGGTTTTGGTTGTACTGGGAGGGGTTTTGATTTAGCTAGGAGTTTTGCTTTTTTGGAGTTTTATTTGTACTGGGAGGAGTTTCGTTTGTACTGGAAGAAGTTTCAGTTGTATTAGGGTGGAGTTTCGGTTGTACTGGGAGGGGTTTTGGTTGTACTGGGAGTAGTTTCAGTTGTACTGGGAGGAGTTTCAGTTGTACTTGGAGGAATTTCGGTCGTACTGGGAGGAGTTTTGGTTGTTGAATGTATCTTGGAGAGACAGATGTGTTTAGGCTGCTATAACATGGAGCTCAAGTGTGTCTCAGTCCACCTCCTGAAGTGGTTTGAATGATCAGATTTGTATCTGTTTTAAATGCATCTTGGCTCCGTTTTACACCAAACCACTCTAATCCAGATATAATCCTGATGCCAGGTGTAACCGGTGTCCAAGATTCCTTGGGCGAGGCTCCTAACTCTACATTTGATTAGAGGTCTGTCACAATTATTGCTTAATTGCCTGTAAATGTAAATGATAACAATTATTTAAGCTGACCGCAGTCATTTTCCTCAGTCAAGCAGCAAATGCTTTTCATTTGTTGAGATATGTCGTGGGTCATATGAAAGCAATGAAAGTTCTAACTTCTGATCTAGATTAATTGTCTGAAAGATTAATTGTCTTTATATTGAAATAACAATTTAAGCATGCAAATGGTTCTTTGAGTGTTAATGGTTCTATATAGGACCATTGAACTTTACTAAAAAAAGAATTGAAGAATTATTTTTAAAAGTGTTTTTGTGCGTCAAACTCCAAGGCATATAAAACTCACTCATAAAGCTCAGTTACATAGAGCTGGTTGGATGTTATCCCAGTTACTGTCACCAAATGTGGGTCATAAAATCTGCCCAGTCATTTTTTGTCTGTATGACTTTTGTTTACATATTTTGGTTCAGTGTTAAATACGTCAGTGTGAACGCTAAACGAACCAGAACCGAAATGCGTCATTTCCTGCTTTGGCTCGAACCAGGAGAACTGAACTACAGATACGAACGCGCCCTCGGTGACACGCCACACAATTCAGAATCCTAACTTCATCTTGTTTATGGTGTAAACGTATCAGAGGGCTGTTTTAAATGAGAGCTGGTTTCATTTCAGATTTGGTGAGTGTCTCCTGTCTCTGCAGGGTGTGGTTCTCCTTTAGGGATGCTGACGCTGTCGCTCAGTGACCAGAAGCTAGCTGGCTCCTGGCTCGCATATCTTAGCATCTATTTGCATGTTTCTGCATGTTTTATGTAAAGCTACACTGGTTTCTCAGTCAAGAACACAACCCTGTAGTAAATGATGGTAAATACAGCATTTGACTGTGTATTTTCTCTGTACTGATAATTCAGATAGATTCCCTGAACTCAGATATCGGAATCAGTATCAGGAGTGAGAATTGACTTATTAACTTTATTACAGCTAAATTATAAACTGTATTAATGCAGACTTCACTTTATTCCTTCATCTCAGAAACATTGTCAAAGTCCGGCTGTATCTCGTACTACATGATGCAAATAAATTGACTCTGGCTTTTGTTTTGTCCCACTTAGATTACTGTAAAGTGCTGTTCACCGGCTTTCCTAAAAAGAGTTTAGAGATAAATTACAGCTTGTACAGAAAGCAGCAAAGAGAATTCTCACCTGAACACGGAGGAATGAACATATCACCTCTGCATTAGCGCTTCACTGGCTTTCCGTTCAATAAAGAACACATTTTAAAGCTCTTTTATCCGTTTTGAAGGCTGTTAAAGGGCAAACACCTGTTTACATGTCAGATAATTTAACTGAATCTGCTCCACAACGATGTCAAAAGCTACCTTCACATTTCAAGCCTTGTTCCTTAAATCCGAGTTTTTGGTCAAATCTGATCTCTCTGACATGAGGGTTCACACTCGTTTAGGTAAGTGATTCAAATCT